CCCCAACTGAACGTGAAAACTCCCTTAATTACTTGAATATTATAATATCCTCTAAAAATGTACACTTACAAATATACTTAGATATAGAGAATAAAATCCCATTTCCAGCAAGATATTTTTTATAACATAATACTATACTATAGGTTATTCAAATAAATTATTGAACTTATTAAAAAAAAAAAAAATGATTTTGTGGCTTCCATTCTAAGCGATGAGGGAGAAGTCGTTCATGCAATGTTGTGATAGCCTAACCCTAGGTCAAATTCCACAACAGTGGTGGGCGGTGACCACTCTGTTTCGTAAAAAGCGTGACCTACAAAAATGACGCACACACACCCATATAAATGGGCTAGATAGATTTCAGGGGTAAAACTAATATGGGGGAAAAGCATACCCTCGGGGCCAGGACCGAGTTAACACCACTGGGCACTCTAAGCACTTAAAATGTTGGTGCCTCCTATTATATCTAACTAAAAATATCAATAAATATTAACCGTAAAACAAAACAGAATGCAGATAAACAGAACTTCCATTTAATATAGAATATAATGTTTTTATACAGTTAACATTACCGGTATTTATTTAAATAAGTTTTTCTGCTACATTTTCTCATTGCAGAGTCAGAAGGATACCATACATAACATATTGAACAAGATTAACAGTTCGCATCATACGGGGACATGCGATTTTAGTTGTTTTAAATAAACAAGTTAGGGGCTCGCATTATATACATGATTGGGAGCAAACATGAATAATAGGCCTACTTTGCTCGTGGCCCTAAAGATATGGAAGAAGAAGATACGTGGTAATATACGGTAGGCCTACATAAAAGCCACAAAAAATCTGCCCATTAAAAAAAAAAAAATGTCGAGAGTACAAGGATGCCAGCAGGCAACCAATATTTGCATTATACACTTTTTTAGCGTAGGATATTTCCGGCCACAATTTACTTTTTCTCTCATTGACATGAGCTATGTTTATATATGTCGACTTCAAAAAAAAAATAAACATAAATATGGCCCCCTCCATTAATAAATCATATTACACCTTATGGACCGGACTGTTACTATTTCACTGTTACTTTAGACTTGTGTCATTGTAATCCTGAGCAAAGCCGGGTATATCAGCTATTAGTTTATGAAGTGGAAAAGTGGAACGAAAATGATGCCACATAAAACGTGTCAACCAGGGCGAACAGCCTATCCGCCCCCTCTTCCTACGCAAGCCGCAAGAGGGTATAAACATATCATGATAGAGTAATAGGTCGGTAGACGAAATGTCGTTGTTGGTTGACCAAATGTCTGTCGCGAAGTCCGTAGACGAACTATCGTAATATCCCAAACAAAGATAGTTACTCGCCAAATGTGAAGCGTCAGACATCTGAAAACACCCAAAAATATATTGATAATTCAACAAGCCAGGTTTGAAGCGATTCCGGTCACTGTGGTGGCCACCTGTCAGCATCGTCTATCAAAATTAACTATTTACTGACGCCACTTTGGGCGCCATGAGTAAAGTAGGTCAAGACAAATATATCTTGAAGAAAAAACATGTGTTATTTAATTAAATATCAATTGGTTGTGAAAGATATTTAAAAAATCAACTTTAACACTTATTAACAGTGTTGATTACTCTCTTGAAATCGACTGTTAATCAATAGTTAAATAAATAAGGCTACAATAGCACAATATTTTAAATTCCAGTAACGGGTAACGTAGTTAAACGAAAATACAAAAAGCAGACAATTTTATATTTATTTACACAGACATAAGTTGAGCTTTTTTCAATTTGTAGGCTTTGTAATATTGCACTTGTTAAGCTTTAACAGTATAAGCAATTCATTTTTATTAAACCTCTCGATTCACATAGAATTCAGAATGCTAAACCGAGCCTGACAGAGTGTTGGGAGGTGTGGCGAAATTTGCTACACAGTTTGTGAGTTCGGCCTGCGCAGACGCGGCGGAGTGCAATCCAATCCAACCCGCCGCAGGATCCCACTTTCGCCATCTTGGAAAAGTTGTGGACGATCCGTATGTGGCGTTTAACCCAAACGTGAAAAGATGAAGAACAGCAGGTATTTAATCAATTTGTATTTATTTTTTCACCAATTCCATTTGTCAATTCGATTTAAAGGTTAAAATGTTTGGAGTAAAAGACTCGAGGTAATATACAGTCGAACAATTTCTTGCGACTTAATTTCAATTGCTGCCAACCTGGACAAGACATTTTTGTACTAGAAGCACAAGAAACAATACTACACAGCGCGGTTAGGCTAAAGAAGGAGAATATTTTGTATTTCTTTTTTCGTATATAGATGAATTATGATACCTAGTTGTTTTTATAAAGATTGATGGTGATTTCATGTAGCTTATTTCGTTCCTAGTCGCTCTTTGTACATCTAACTAACCGACCAATGTCGATAATACCGACAACGCGAAGCTAAAAATAGCACAACCGCAGCCAGGGCTCAATGTACTAGATCGCCGACCAAAAATCGACCCTGTGTCCTTTAGTTGACTGCCTCTGGCTTGTATAGCCCACTATCACACAGGTGTTCCAAGCTCATGGCCACCTCAAGATTTCAAAGAAGGCAATTTTACTAAAACTCTCCATACCTAAATAGGTCTCTAGTCTCTAACTATAATACCGGTACTATACCTATAAATATTACTTGTAGTCTGTAGTTATAATCTATACTATATTTATACTATAAATATAAATACTATTTGATTATAGTAAAGAGTAAGCCCTCTATGACTATGGTGTAGGCCTTATCAGGCTTATACTTATGACTACTCGAGCCTATATCAGACCTGTTCACTCTTATGATTTTGGCGTACAATGTACGGCTTTAAGGTGTCTTTTACGATTCAGTCGATTGTATGCCAAGACCCGTCACATCTACGATTTTAAGAAACTGGGTTGAAAATATATACATTCCAGTAGTTTTTCCCATATAAAAAAAAATTTAAAAAAAAGTATATTTTCAGTTTTTAAACCTGCCTTCTACATCCAGCAGTCAATGGATTGAGAAATACAATTGTTAGGGGACCAAATTTTACCTTTGCCCTGAGAGGGTAAGGCAGTGGTGTTGACTTAGGAGATTTTGCGTATGGGAGTGGGGGGGTATCTAAATATTAAAGTCTTTAAAATTAACCCCGCCACATTTTGGTAATGATAGTTATGATGGCCATATAGTTACTCTTAGTTAGTTGCCTTAGTGACAATTTTAGTAAATCCTCGCTTTTGTTTTCTTCTTCATGTATGACTTACTTTTGTGACATAATTATTTTGTTTGGTCTGCACGTTCACTCAATATAAATTGAATTTATTAGCAAATACACATCTGCAAAACAAAGTGACAGCAGATAGCAATATAATCGTTGCTCATCTACTTTTAGAAGTTAACTTTTTTGATGCCAGCATAACTCGATCCCACTAGAAATGCGATACAAGTAGTTATTGTATTTATTATATACACTGTTTGTTTATTTATTTACTATTAATATACTGAATTGTACGATTTTGAGACGATAATAATTTTTCGATATTGTATAATTTTGAGACGATATTGTACGATGTTAGGAGTTCGAGGGTAAAAAGGTTTGCTATATTATTTGTACAATATAATAGTAGTAGGTGAATTGCATGAGGTAACTTCAGGAAAATAATTTGCATCCCATATTAAGGAAAAATGACATTAACTGTGCTTAATTTAACTAGATTAATGAGACACAAACAATTTTGTGTAAATAAAACATTATATTTTCAGCTTTAATGGTGATTTTACAAAATTACTAATGTAAACGTTTCTGCTAATGCCTTCATCAGCACAAAGAACAAAAAATTTAAATAAGTATAAATTAAATTTACATAATATATATTTACATGTATCCTACCTAAAAAATAGAAAAGATTAAGAGTGGGTGCAAATGCAGACAAAAACCAAGTTAAGAAGAACAGAAAGGAAGTGAGTGGAAGTAAAATTGAAAAATCAAACATATAATATTGTTTTATTTACACAAAATTGTTTGTGTCTAGTTAATCTACTTTAAAGCTTGATTGCAGTCCAACACTCTTATAATTAATAATTTAACTATGATGAAATAATTTGGGTATTAAGTTAGTAGAATAAAACAATAAGCATTTATAAAAATGTATGAGATATGAAGAATAATACGGTAGTTAAAAATAATAAATTTTTGAAATGTAACTGATGAGTGACATAACATGAAAAGGACATAATAGCATCTTGAGAGTATGCCGGATTGAGATGAATTGACGATATAGAGAAGGACTTATACCAGCTGAGGGTCTGTGCATGGAGGCGGCAAGCCGTGGATCAATCCGAATGAAAGAATCTGTTGGAGCAGGCCAGGGCCCTTATATGGGCTCTAGCGAACTGATGATGAGGATAATCTTTTTATAAGCTTTATCTTAAATTGCTCTGTTCTTTTGTTCGTTTGTGTGTGGTCATATCATGCATCTTAATTTTGACTTCTTCCTGATCTCCAACTGAGCTGAAACTTTGTACACTTACCCACCACCAAAGGCAATACAACACTTCAAGATCAGTAGGTCACCAGTGACCTCTACTGACCCTTGAGTGATCTCTTTAGATATCTCAGGAATGGAAAGTAATAGAGTTTTCACTGCAGCGTTTCCTTATGTATGGTTACACTTTTTTACATTTAAATTTTAGACTCTTTAAATCATGTCTAGTAAATTAACTTGTGTTTTAAATCTTCCAAGATTAAAAAGTGCAAATTAAAACAATATTTTAAAAGAACACGCTTTTCCAAAAGGTACCAAAAAGTATTAAATAATTGTCCACCAAAACATGTAACATTCATATGACTAAAAAAAACTAAGGGCGTCCATGAGCTCATTGTTCATTGCAAATCACAAAGATATGCACGCAGCGAAATCACTAATTTCATTCCATGCATCAAGATCGATAAGAGCATACAATAGTAATGATTGCAGCAATGCAAACATTTGCATGTTTCCAAAATTGTATTTGTCAAGTCTATGACATCATTGCATTTTATGGATGCCTAATGATGTTTTAGTCATATACAACTCTGAAGTTTTGGGGGAAATTTTTCATTTATTTTACACTTTTTAGTAAATTTTTGTTGATTTCCTTTTTGAGTGTTTTTTTCTAAGGAAAACCTTTTAAAAACTACCGTACTTAGATAGAAAGTACATTTTTTTAAAATACGGACAAAATGTTATATCTGAGGTAACAGGACTTTGTAATTGATGTAACATGTCTAAATGCAAGCAAGCAAAAATAGAACTATTTCAATTATTTTACAGAAATAAAAATTCTTGTCTTTAGCTGTTAAATAAACTTAAATAAACCATAAATAACAGTGCTTTAATGCTTGTTCATCATGTGACATTGGCAATGAAAATAGTTTGTCTATATTTGCTAGATAGTAAACCTAATAAAATTCATTAAAAACTTCTATTAAAATGTGCAGTTATTTTTTTAATTCAAATGATGGTGGCCACCAGGTATGTGTCACACAAAACAAAGATAATAAAAATGACTCCATACTAACGTGCATGAAATAATTTATATACCACCAAATTTTATACATTTTAATTTTACTGGGAATTCACAAATAACTATTATATTACCCATACTTATAATAGATACAAAATAATAAAGACTAGGCTAACTTAACATACTTAACTTGATTTTAAACTATATCTTTTCTAGGCCAAGCCTATGCTTATATATTTGGATATATATGCTAGTTACAATAAGTTAGATTACCACAATAAAATTATAATTTCTAAAGAGAAACATAATAAAAGTTAATGCATAATTATTGCTATAGTCAATATTTTTAAGTGATCCAGAAATTAGAAAGTTAAGAAAGCAGGGGTTCACTTTGGTATCACACACAATTTAAGCATTTCTTATAATGAAAATCATTATGCTAACAAAAGTTTAATGTCCTCTCTGCAGGCTGTGCTGGAATTCAATTTACTTGGAATAAAATCCTCTGAAAAGTTGGTGGTTCCAATGCAACAACCATTTTAAAATATTAAACCAAGGTTATAGTATTTGAAAATTCTAAAATGGATTATGACATGGAGAGTGTTGAGGCAAACGGGAAAGACATAGCAGATAAATCTATTGATATGGAGTGGCAGATAGATTCTGAATGGATCAACCTCTCAACCACCCCTGTGGCACCACCCAGCAACAACAAAAAGAATAAACAAATTAAACAAGAACAATCAAATTTTGAAAATATGTCACCTCCCAGTTTTCAGCTCATACCTGCCTCTAAAGGAGGTAAATATTTAGTTGTAGACAACCAACCATTGAGACTAAGCCAGAGAAAGACTTCTGGATATTCTTATTGGGTTTGCAGCATTCCTTGCTGCACAGCCAGGTGTGTCCTTGATCCTGATGAAAAGAAAATAGTTAGACTATGCAGAAACCATAATCATGAAGCGGATGTTAGTCGACAGGAATATAAAAAATTTATCAATGCATTAAAAATTTCAGTTAAAGAAAATCCTCATGTGAAACCAAAAGCTTTATATGATGCTGAGATAGTAAAGACTAAAGAACGATGGAGAGAATCCAAGTTGAAGAACAATAGCAATGAAGAAGAGCCCAGCTTGCCTAGCTTCGATAAAGTAAGAACAGCAATGTACAACTCAAGGAATGCAGTCCTTTCTTCTGTTTCTTTAAAAGCGGTAGAGGAGGAATCTGGTGCTGCTTCTGAAGCAGTACTTCAAGCAGGACCAAGTCGGTCAACTCGAACAAGAGATGCTAAGGCAAACCAAAAGAGAAAATCCACACCTACTAAGGCTTTGGTTCTCAGTGGTTCTGATCTTGATGAACTGGTGAGTACAGTATTTTTATGATGAATTTCTGCATATTAATTGCTTGTACTAATAACAAGGTAGGAAAATTACTGGCATTACTTTTTTCCAGCTGTAACAAGAATAATAACTTTGATAGTGGATTCTGGTAGATTGAGTTTTCAATAAATGACTAGTTTTGGTCTCACTTTTTTGTTACCATGTTGGTGACTTGTTACTTTAGAAACGGAGTGGGGAACCAAAAGGCTTCTCGGGTCGCAGGTCATTACACCTTATATTAAAATAAGTCCCCACTAAATGGTGTATAGCAATGTTTATCTCTTCTTAATGTATATAATAAAATGCTAAATAATAAAATGCAAAAAATCTAAACTGATGTACCCGAAAGATCTTTTTACCTTTTTTTTTTTATCTTTTTAAATGGATTTCTTTAACCAAGAACAATTAAGTTTATTAGTAATATTAGTGATAAATTAGGCATTCACAGGCTTCAATAGTTGATGTGGCGGGCAGTTTGCAGCTGCTGGTTGGCCACCCCTGCTTTAGAAAGTTAATGAGAATGAAATAAGCAGCAGCATCACTTGTTTTTTTGTTTTTTTACCAATAATTAATTTGATGCCAGTTTGAAGACATGACATACCAGAAAAGAGGTTACAAACATTGATGACTGATCTCACCTTTTAAAAATAGAGATTTTGAATGCTGAAGGCTTCAAGTGCCCCAAACAAGACAAAGAATTGTGTCCCTTTTGTATTCTGTATTATTTTGTTAGCATAAAGTGCACCTTTTCCAAACCATCCATTTATCATTCCATCCATCAATCCATTATTAAGTTATTATTCCATATATTTTCATGGTTATTTTTGAAGTGTTACACTCAAACCCACCATGACGGCAGAGGGAATATTTTGTGGAATAGGACAGACCTTGAATTTGATATCCTATTTGACAATAATTATTTTCAAAAAGTAAAATGATACAGATATATTATTTTCAATAAAGGAAAATGCACTGTAAATCATTTTTAAGAATATTGGATACTCATTAAGATTTATGTGGTATTTATAAATAGTATTAATTAAAATAATTGTTTTGAAAAATTGGACAGCTCTCCTGGGAATTTTGTGTCTTTGGTGACCTTCAATTTTCATCTAGTGCAGTGCTGTCCAAGCATCTCACATGGTCCACAGACTTATTTTAAATGGCTCGCCAGAACTTGTGCAATTTTTTTATGATTGGTGTAAAAATTAAAACATGTTATATGGGAAAACAAAATTTAACGTCAGTCATTGATACAGTATTGTTGGGAAATCGCGTGAGTGCACATCAGCAGGAAAACAATTTGCGAACATGGGGGTTACATGGAACAGAATTCTAGTGTCTTTTATCCAATGGTAATACTGGTGACGCTTCGTGGGAACTGGATATAATTTCTAAGTACTGCAGGTAAATGATTGCGCTTTATAGGATAATAAGATAGAAGGAATGGAAGGTTCTCTGGTCGGATTAAACGAGATGAGATCTGGGGTACTAAAGGTCACACAGGATTATGGCTGGAGATTGTAAGCAAGTTAAGATTAAAAAACAGTCTAGTCAGGTAGGGGAGTGAGCCCATCCTGTATTTTTAAGACTAGTTCTTGGTTTTCAGTGATCTGCATTCCAGGAGTTGAAAGCAGGATGAAAGCTGTTTTTGTTGGTAGTTAGTGCTCTTCAGTCAGAGGAGAAATTTTGCCACACAGTAGGAACAATTCTTGAAAGTATATTTTTTTCTAAAAGACAATACAATTAAAAAACAGAAAGTTACATGAGAAACCGTACATTTCATGTAGTTCTTTGGAAATGAAATTTTTGGTTTTATCATTTTAATGAAAAGCCAATGTCTGATGTGCCAGACTTCTACTTCTATGTGCCGGTATTGTAAATTTGATATAATTAGTTTGTATTTTTTGTTGCAATTTAAAGTTCATTTGGTTGAAAGGTGAGTGACATTGGAGCATGAAAAATGACATAGTAAAAAGTAAAAAAAGGTTAGCATTTATAAAACATTAAAGTTTAACATTATGCATCCTAAATGTTTACACTCATTCTTTAAGCTTATTTTTTTTTTCAGGATTAAGTTCACTTTTAAGCATCATTTATTGCATGGCATGTAGTTATTAAATGTTTTCAAATGAACATTAGAACAAATTTTAATGGCTTCTTGTATTTTTGGGAAACTCCCACCCATCACTCAATAATAAGAGATGGTTACCTTGGTTTGCCCAAGTTTGTGGTGTTATATGGCAGAAATTGAATTACATTCTATAAAACATATTATGACATTTGATGTTTACATTGTCAAAGCTTTTAAATTTGTTAAGAATGTTGTTAAAGCTGTTCAATGTGCTTCAATTTTCTTTATTATTAAATATAAATGTAGCATAAATTTTACCCTTTTATTTTTGTATGGTGCTTCTGTTTGAATTTTCTATTGTAATTAAAGTGGTTTTCTGTTACAATGTCACTGCACTCCATTGTTTAAAAAAATAACATAATTTTTAGGCCTCTCTCCTCCATTAGCTCTCTCTCTCCTCCATTAATTTCATAGACAAATATATAAACACATGTAACATTATTAAAGATTATACATTTTCTGTCCCTTAAAACTGGAGAGTTTAAAATGAAGCCATTGATCCAAGCATATTAACAGTCAATCAACAAAAAACTAAAAAAAAAAATTATCAAAAGCCTTCATCTGGATGACACTTTGTGTATAGTGTGCTTTACACAAAGTTTCAGCTTCTTAGTATAATCTACATTATCTGGTGGAAGCTAGAAATATTTTCTTTATCTGTTTTCCCAACAGTAAACACATAGTTTTTTAGTTATCTAAATTAGCTACATACATTTTTAAGTTTAATTATCAATAAATATGGCTTTCAGGTTTATTGCTTTTTATGAAATTTATGGAATTAGTTTCTCTCAATAGGGTTATATTAATGCAACTTCACATATCAAGCATCGAAAATTTTAAGGAATGCATTGCACATAACATGTTATCTTATCTGCTATGCTTCATGCCTATGTTTCTTTTATGATTTGCAATTTAATTTCAATTTGCAATTTTTATTTAATTTAACCTTAAGTTTTACATTTTATTCATGAATACTTCTTTTAAAAGCAACTTTTTGGTTAGGAGGTTATAATTTGCTTTTGGTATATAAATGTTTTTTTTGTTTTTTTTTGTCATTGTCACTATCTTCATTTGCTTTAGTTGTTTGTTTCTTTTCACCTTTTCTTGAAGTAATATTTCATTCTTTCTTTCTTTCTTCCTTTCCCTTTTTTTTTTTTTTTGCATCCCTTTTTCTTTAACCTTTTAATTTTATAGGAAAAAATTGTGCTTAATAAGCCGACCACTTTGTTAGATTTGGTGCACGTTTGATCACTGAGCAGAGCATTTTGTTAGATTGTGCACGTTTTTCTCTAAATCTCTCAACTTGAAACAGTTCATTACTTCTTTATCTTCATATCTTTTGCTGCATGCAAGGCGCAAACAAACAAAATACCTATTTGGTTCATTTCAACAATAATTGCATACAGTTGTTCAAAATATTTAGTTAATAATTGTATTAACTATCACCAGGTTACTTTCTCGAATTTTCTCAGACCTTGACCAATTTATCCGACAGTGGATTTTATTCCCCAATTTTATTTTCTCTTTTGTTTACTGCCACAGAGGAATCTCAAAGGTGGGTACATTTTGTATGCCTTGTACAATGTACTGTATTGAGTTCTTTTGTTCTTGTGGCTGTAATAAAATAAAAAAGCAAATTATACCTCCTTACCAAAGAGAAATTCTTATATTAATATCAGTTATTTATTATAATGATCTACAAATTGAAATTTAACTCTCAACTTATTGTTGCTCATTAATTTAATTTTAATGTTTTTATTTCAGTTATCCCATATATAATAGTAACATATTTTCAGGTCTTAAAAATAAAATGACAAATTTGTGTAAGCATTATAATTTAAAACGAAGAAAATGTTATGTCATGAGAAATTATTGCTCTTAAAAAAATATAAAAAACTAATTAACTTTAAAATCGGTCAATTTACTTGAATGTCACAATTAAATATATTCATTTTCCACAAACAGGAAGAAGAGTGGTGTAGTGAACCACATAAGGATGCCAATCTGAGTGATTTTGAGGAGTGGCTTGATGATGATGTAAATGTTCATTTGCCAAATCGTTTGCTTAATATTAAAAAAGAAGTCAAAACCTTGCTATCACCTCAAAAGAAAACCTATGTCAAAGAAACTCAAGATCTTGAGCAAAAAGAAAGTGATGAGGTGAGTTTTCAGAATGTTAATCATTTTACCTTGAAAAATTATTGTTACAAATTTTATATTTTTATGCCTGTTATTTAAAATGCAAAGATTGCAAATGATTCTAGATCTAATACTACTAAAATGTTTAACACAAATTTGGCAAAATTATTTTTATCTAACTTTGAAATTATATATATATATATATATACATATTAAATTAAATTAAAGAATATATATATTTTTTTAAATAGGTTAGTTTATTTAAATGAATTTTTAAACTTTAAGAAATAGCTTTTCAACCCTGTTACCATTAGTTACAAATATAATCTTTTAATTAAAATGTTGAAAAGGTTTTTAATACATTGATAGAAAGTACCAGTGGCATAACCAGGTTTTTTTGGCCAAGCTTTTGCCAATATCCTTTAAAAAAATGCTTCCTCTCAATATTAAGAAAAAAGTGCCACCCCTCCGTACCCCCTCTCCTAGTACGCTTCCTTAACATCATAGTACCTACTGTTATCTTTTTGTATTTATTACATTGATACAAAGTTATATATTTTACCAAAAGATCAAACAATTTTTATTAACATTTTTCTTTTCTCATTTACATTTCTCTCTCAGAGTAACCTTTGGGAGGGAATATCCCCACTTGAGAATATTCCCCGTCGTAAGTATCGCAAGCGCCCAGCTTCTTCATCTGTCTTCACATGTCCTCATTGTCCTTACAAGTCCAATCGTCATTTCAATGTACAACGTCACGAAAGGTTGGCTCACTCTACCAAGAAACCAGAATTTAGTTGTACAGAGTGTGGAACATCCTACTCACTTGAATACAGACTCAAACTTCATATAAAAGCTGTTCATCAAGGTGAAGGTCAGCACTGCCACATTTGCTCACGCACATTTGAAACCATGACAGGACTAAAATCCCACATCGTAACCAAACACAAGAATGAAGATCTTAAAGTGCAGCGAGAACCACCACCTGAACTGACATGTGGGCTGTGTGGGAGAGTGTTTTCCACCAAATCCCATCTTCAAAAACACACTAGCACACACGTGATGATCCAACCGTATCGTTGCTATATATGCAACAAGGCTTTTATGGAAGAAGTTTCTTGGCTGTCACATCAAAATACCTGTAATGATCCCTTCATTATCCAATGTTGTCTTTGTAGTGCAGTTATCCCAAATGCTCTTGAGCTGATAACTCACATGGATATAATACATGGACGATCTGAGTACTCGTGTCACTGTGGCAAGATATTTCCATGGAAAAAATCCTTGCTCACCCACCAACAGAAATGCTCTCTATTCTTAGCTGAAAGAAGTGGCTAAAATAAGAGATTCCCTCCATTTGCATGTTTCTAATATATCTTTAATGATAAATATTTTAAAATCTTATTTTTTAAAATACTTACAGAATGTATTTATTTGAAACATCTTAACCTTATCTTGAACTAACTAATTGGAATTACCATTCTTCACAGAAACTGATACATTAATTAAAGATATATCAACAGTAGATTCTGCTTACCAAGGTCCAGGGCTTGTGGATGCCATAAAGTTGCTATTCTCTTGTAATTTTTTTAGGAATAAGTCCTTCTTTAAATAAATACGATGACAAATTTTACAGAAAAGGGAAGACAATAATGTTTTTACTGTTTGCACATTTTGTTCAAATTTTATAGGAAAATATTGACCTATATATAGGTCTTTGGCTATACATGATTTCCTTCCTTTCTCAAATTGGCATATTTTACGAGCTGTCATCTCCAATGCCGAGTGGTAAAAACTGATCAAAGTTGCCTTTAAGACCTTCCTTTTGTTTCAATAATGCAAAAAGTATTTTTATTAAATTAAAAGGTTGCCGAAATGAATCAAGTGCCCTATTTAAGTTGAATCCACTATTAAGAATCCAGTTTTTAACATCATGCCTTGTCATTATTTGGAGGGGGGGGGGGGGTTAAAAATTATCTCAATTTTCTTTTCCATTTTTGATGTTAAAAGTCAAATTATTTTTAAACATTCCCAATGGCATGACCTAATACTGAAATTAATCAAGTGCCCTATTTAAGTTGAAATCACTATTTAGAATCCAGTTTTTAACCTCATGCCTTGTCTTTATTTGGGGGGGGGGGGGGTTAAAAATTATCTCAATTGTCTATTCCATTCTTGATGTTAAAAGTCAAATTATTTTTAAACATTCCCAATGGCATGACCTAATTAGTAAATCTAAGATCACGAAATACAACTTAGAGGTGTTTAAAGAAAAAATCAAAACAACTTCAGGTACTTTAATTAGTTGATCGAGGTCATATCATTATTCAGGACTGTTAATATCAAAATGGGGAATTTACCTCAAATGAGTTGTTTTTTTTCCACAAAAGTATTTTATTGTTACTGTTAAAATGTACATTAGTGTTCTAATGTAGTATGTACTTAATTATTTTATATAAAAAATGTCTTCACAATCATTTAAATCAAATGTATTTGAAATTGTGTCAGAAAAAACGCAATTTATTGTGCATTTTAAAGATCTTTAATCTTGTCTTCCACATATCAAAATCTTGATCTCTAATATTTGTGTGAATCATCTACCCAATTTTGATACATCTTCTAATGTGCTCTTTTGTATATACATCACAGTTTTTATTTTTTTAAATGTATAGTGCAACTTATGAATGCTTAAATATTCTAATTATCACTTCCAAGTGAACAAAACATATCTTAAAGAGCTTTGTTTGGTTAATCATTTAAATATGAATCATGACTTTATTCTGAGTTGAAGAGTCATGCTTAACCTATATAATGGCCAACCACAGGCTGTGATATATCTAAGAAAACATATCTGTCTGATTCTTGTGGTATGTTCTCATATATTAAAGTTATTAGTAACAGATGAAAAGGCTTAAAAGATACCCCCAAAATAAAAACACCTTCTTTCTTTAAAAAATCATGATTGCATTTTCATGTGCCATAGGATTTTATATCTTAAAACCAAGAAATAAAATAAAACAGGCAGGAAAATATGTATTACCATCTGTTTATTTCATATGTAATGTGAGAAATGTTACTGAGAGCATGAAAGACCTACAAGAGTAAAAATGGTAATGTAAGCATGTAAAACTGATTAAATTTTTTAATTGCATTTTTTAAAAAATGAAAATATACCTACCATAATGTTTGCATTGTAAAATTTTTTTATAAATATCTATAATTATAAATATTGTGTGTGTGCCTTTCAGTGTCTGTTTTTGTAACACAAGCAGGCTTTGTTCACAAAGTATGCAGACTTTCCATTTCTTCTAATATTAGATAAAGCATTTACATGAACTTCTTAAAAATATATAAAAAGATGAGAGTTCAGAATTTCTTTATATCTTTATTTAAAAAGTGTGTCAAAACTTTTTTTTATCTTTGATCAATTATTTGTATGTAGGCCTTGAATAGTTTTAAATTAAAACTGTAGCTGAAGTCAAAACTTCATTTCACTGCCACAATGTGTTATTGAGGTAATAGGGAACATATTTATAATTTTAATTGTTCCTGAGAGAAGCCAATTTGATGATATATCATTCCAGCTACTTCTATTTGCCATTTTGTCCATTGTTAGCATTCCATGTATTGTGTATTTATCAGGATATTTTTATGAGGTTGTGAAAGTACTTTATTGATAATATCTAATATGCAGGTTGTGTTTTTTCAAATTTTTATCATAAATCTTTGCTACTAATTTTTATGCTTTTTAAAATATCAAAAATAATCTAGAGTTTTTCAATAAAATTTGATTTGGTTCAACGCTATGTTTGTTTTTGTGTTGGCAATGGAATACTTGTTTAATTAGTGTGACAGTTTTGATTAAATTAACTTTACTGTTAAATTAGGATCCATGACAGAAAATAATCCAAATTTTAATTATGCATGCGTAATAAATTCTGTTTATAAGACAACAGTGATATCTGTGATGTGTTTCCATTATATAGCATTTCAACACATAATTATATTGATCTCTCAAGACAAAGTCATTTAAAATCACCAAGTACAGATTGCGAAATGGAGAGATGTATTTTGTATTTCGGTTGTCTTTTAGTTTTAAGTGCAAGAAATATTCATGTCACACCATAAAGAATCTAGGCCAAATGATATTAAATCTGGGGAGTAGAAATGTAACTTTTTTGGTTGAAACTTTGTTAGATGTGGATGAAATAATCTGGGTTGATTTGTAATTATATTCATGGATTCACTTTTTGTCATCAGGAAGACGATGGTGATGAAACTGATGAAGACTGGAAAGCCTCTCCCACATCCAGCACCAACTCTAAGAGTAACATGGAAGATGTGAGTTTCCATTTCATGCCATCAAATCGTGGATCGCAGGTTCTAGTGATAGATGGATGCTTGCTTCATCAAAATACTATTCGTGCATCAGGGAAGTCTTATTGGAGATGCCAAAAGAAAGGATGTTTCTATAGGTAATGGGTAATGACCTAGGGTATTATTACAAGAAAAATTTAAAGAATATGTTATAGTTTTGCAGAAATCTGTCAAGCTTTTAATGTGTTACACTTTCTAATATGTTTTATTAATCAAGAATCTTTATTTTTTGGTCTCTTCCCACACTTGTGCAGTAGTCCTCAAAGGGGACATTGGGATTTCCTGGAAAGGGGGGGGGGGTGTGTTAAAATACTCTGTAGCTATAGGGGGATGCTAGGACTATCTAAGGGGGCATTGTTGGATTAAATCAATAAAGGTTTTTTTAAAAATCAAAATGATGTTATAGCTTGTGTGTTAACCTAATTTTGTCACCATGAGCCTTGGCATTCAATCCCCCCCCTCCTGCTTTTGCCCCCTTTTTATGATACTGACGTCACCAATTGACTTGGTGACACTGTGCTACCACTCCTTTTCTACCACACCCCCCTACCTTAATATAGTTTTTATATCTATTTATTTGATTTGGTATTTTTATATAAACTAGATAGAATAATAAAATTTAATATTTTTAATATCATTAGCTTTGATATCATTTTTCTTTGTATACTGGTTTTCAGTGCTTTGTTACATATTGTTCAACAAATTAGCCAAATCTTAAAACAGATTACTTTTGCAAAACCATATAATCATATAATATATATATAAAAGAGAAAATTTGTGGGTTTGTTTATTTGTGGCTTTGTTCCACAAAGGCTTTTAAATGGATTGATGGATCTAGACCAAACTTGGCATAAATATCCTTCATTATTCGGAAGGAACTCTTAAGGGGTTATAAACTTTTTATAATGTTCCGTTTGGGGCCAGGGCCCCGAATTTGTTTCCTTTCTTATTTGAGTAATATATATAAAATTAACAACAAATACTCCTATATGAATAGATGGATCTTGACCAAACTTAGTTCACATACACTTGATTATCCATGTTCAAATACCGAAAGGTACTGAACTCATAATATCCATTCCTCTTGGGATTTTTCCTAATATAAGCTATACATATATCAATAGGCCTTGACAACACTATAGTATAGGTTCTATGTGAATTGACGGATATAGGCCAGCATGGTAGCAATGCACTTCATTGTCCGTATTGAAATATCGGTGGATTTAAAACTATGAATATCCCATCTAGAATTTTCCAGAAAGCTCAATTACTTTAAAAAGCTATATCTATGGCATTGTTAATAGATTTTAATGGGACAAATTTTAAACTTTAACTTTAATATTTATCTGAATGATTTTTCTTGGGCCCCCCATCTCAGGCAAAACTAGTAGGGCATATAGTTGTATAATTTTTTTTGTATTCAAAGAATAATTACCGGTACTTAGAAAATTCATTTTTTAAACGTTTCGAGGAGGATATTAATTTTTTATCTAGAACTAGAATGTTCTAGAAAGTTCTATATTGTTCTATGGGGATTGAAATGTTTGTTTAGTTCTATACTTTCATGGGTATGTTCTTTAAATAGACCCTTCATAATCCTATCGGAAACAAAATCCCAATAGGAACATGATCCCAACGAGGAAGAGGATCCTAAAGGTGAATGAGTAAACTGGAACCCACCGGTAACACAATCCCATCGAGTGATGTGATAATTAGGGATCCTATCTGCAAATAGGATCCCATCGGAGAAGAGGATCCCACTGGGAAACAGGATCAGGATCCCACCTGAAATAAGGAAAAATGGAAAATGGCATCCTACTTGAAAATGGGATCCCATCAATTAGTTGAGGACCCCACAGGGGTCAGGATCCTATTTGGAAATGGAATCCTATCACAATAGGGATCCCAATCAGGATCTCTATGGGGTCAGGATCCCAATGTCGTCGGGATCCTAATTAGAAATGGGATCCCAACAATAGGGGTCGAAGAAAGAAGATCATAATCTGGATCCCAAATGGGATGTGGAATCCAATTTGGAAAAGGGATACCATTGGGATCGGTATCCCAATGGGTTTGGGATCCCAATGGGTCGGGATCCCTTTTTGAAACAAGATCCAAATAGGGATCACATTAGGATTGGGATCCCATTTGGAAACAAGATCACAATCAGGATGCCAAATGGGGTCGGGATTCCAATAGGAACTGAATCCCATTGGAAATATGGTATCCTACTTGGAAATGGGATCTCATCGGGGAATGAAATGTTTACAAAAGTTATTTTAAATGTGTTTATATAGGAAACAAATAAATTCTTTTATTATTTTTTTACTTTAAGGCTGTTTTTTAATATACTTGGCGCTAAATTTCAATGTTAATTAATAGGCTGTTGAAGTTATTGTTTTTTCCTAATGCAATCCCATGCAGCACCAGATGTATTGGCTAGTAATGATATAAAATTTAAAAAATAAATTATGATTATCAGATAATTATTGCCTTGAAAAAAAGAGAGTCCAGAATAGACATCTTATTTTATTACCTATTATTGTCTCATTCATTGCCAACATCTGGTGGCTAAAAACTAAAAGTTGATTGATTTTCACAATGTGAGTAGGTAAGTTGCTTTGAAGAGCTTTTTGACACTGAAATTTTTAAAAAAGCTGCTTCTCTCCGTGCTAAAACCCCAAAGACATCAGACAGGAATTAGCTACTGCCAGAAATAATTGCAGATTTCAATAAAAATCAATTTAAATATTCTAGAAAATGATGCCAACCGTATAAAAACCAAATGAATAAACTCTACTTTCATATCTCACTCAATCAAACCTGCACATTAGGATGTTGGCCAAAATCCAAGACTGTTGGAACTAAAATGTAGCAATACATATAAAAAGAGTTGGTTGTATAAAAAGAGTTGATAGTCTGCATTTTATACACTTCTAGGCCCTTAGGCAATCTGGACCACATTATGCTCTTTAGGACCTTAAGGAAGCCATGGTGTTCTGTCCTCTCTGGATGTTTTTTCCTAAAGTTTGTTTTATGAAGGGTTGGGGGGGGGGGGGGGGTGGGGAGCAAAATTGAAGAAGGCAACTGTACGGGTGAGTGATATAACTTATTGGTATATTTAACTGGACTGTTAACAACTGAGGGTTGACAAAAATAAATCACACAATAACAATTCCTTGAAGAATGCTGGGTAATAGTAAGAATGTTAAATTACAATTTTTTTTTCTTAATAATCTTAGAGCTGTATATGATCCTAAGCTGGATAAAGTGACTAAAACAACTGGCCTCCACAACCACCCGCCAGATTCCAATCAGATGATGAGACGGCAGTTTATCAACAATGTTAAAAGTCAAATTACTGATAACCCAAATGTTCCGCCCAAACAGTTATATGAAAAGGAGGTGCAAAAAGTTAAGCAAGAGGTAGGCATTAAAAAGGATAATAAGTGATAGACTATGTTAAAAAAGCTGAAGTATTATTTATGTTGCTGATATTAATTTTAGACAAGGGTACTACATTAGAGTCCTTACTTTGATGACTTACCCTTTCTGCACAGATGCATTTACTATTTGTAGTGTAATGTGTTAATGAAATTATTTTTCTCATACTTTTTAAACACATTAATTAAATTATATTTAAGAAAAAGGAAAGTAAAAGTTTAGAATAGGGGAATACCTTTGAAACTGATATTGATTGGTCTTCACAGAAGTTCCAGTTGTAGAGTCGTCTCTGGCTAGATATTCAATTTATAAATTTATAGACTTTGTTGAAAATTTAGGTTCACTAAACTGTGAACATCTGTTACATGCAATGCAGCTTTAATGAAGATCACCATTTAGTGAACATCTATTTCATGCTGATTTAAAGTTACTTGCAAAAGCTTTGGGAGTTTGTCAGCATTATTTGGACAAATTTAGATGGTAACTTGAAATTTAACAAGAGTCAAATTATTTTTTTTAAATTCAGCTTTCAGAACTGGGTGTTTCATGGAAAATTCCCCCATTTTCCTGCGTTAAACACCTTGCTTATCGCGCCAGGAAATCTGCAATGAATGATGATGCAGAAGAAGAGGAGGACGAAATTTCTGAAGAACAGGTAAACATTTATATACCAGAACTTTTTTTTTTTTTAATTTGTAGATCACCTTAAAAATTCTGTATGTATGAAGTTAAATAGATTTTAAATGGTATTTCAGCTCCTTTATAGCATACACACACTTTTCCTCAAGTTGTTTATAGCGATTTTCTGTTTACATTTGCAGCCTATTAAGAGACAGATAACTGAGACAGAGAAGAAATTTCTTGAAGAATCGGTATTAAATCCTCAGGAGGAAGAAAGTGGTATTACTATGTCCCTTCTGTCTCCTGGGCCTGCACCAATACAATCAAAGAATTTCCCAGACCAAAGATTCTATTTTATCCCATCTAAAAAGGGTAAAGAGAAAATTTTACTTTCATTAGTTGAGATAATGCAATAAATCTCTATATTGCAGTGAGGTATCTGTCTCACGCCATATGGGGTGCTATTTAAAAAATTATTTCTATTAAAGATAAGGGTAACATGAGCAATGCAACTATGAAAAACAACTTGAGTAATGACTTTATTTTTGCAGTAAGGGAAAATTGTGGAACATTTTAGGGATAAATATACTCTTTCACTTTCAGAAGTGATCTAGAAATATTCTATGTTGACGTTTGATTAGTTTCAACCCTCTTTGACTATTTGAAACAGGAAAGCGTATTTTGGTGGTGAATGATTTCACATTCCGTCTCAACAGTCTGAAGTCTGGTGGTCGATATTACTGGAAGTGTACTGTTGATCCCTGTATGTTTCGATGTGTGTATAATGAAAGCATTCAAGATATTATCAAGGTGACATATAGTTTAGATCTAATATGTTCATAGAATGTTTACTTTCGTTTTAAACTTTAGCCATATTTGTTTATTTTGAAGTATTTTAAATTGCGATGTTGCGAGGTCTTTCACAAATAAAATTTTAAATTTAATAATTATTAAGATGTTATTAAATGTGGATTTTAACTCTTTTTAGATTTCAGGAAAGCACAATCATGTTACTAATGTCCATAAGTTAAGAACAAGAGAATTTTGCTTCTTAATGAAGGCTCGGATGGCCGAGGACCCAACACTGACACCAAAGAAAGCATATGATAGAGAGATTGCTAAAATTCGCATCTTAGAAAATGGAGAGCAGCTTGTTAAATGTCTGCCTGCTTATTCAAGTATTCGCACATCACTTTACAACCAAAGGCACAAGTAGGATTATTAACTTTTATTTTTTTATCATTCAAATAGCTACTGTCCAACAGTAGTTGGATATTGATTGAAAAAAATATCTTAATCTGTTATCCTACTGTAATTATTATTTCAGTTTTTAAAAAAGTGCTTTTTCAAAATTGTTAATAACTTAAGGACAGTTATTTTGTTTGACTTAATTTTTAAAATTTGGTGCTGTTTTAAACCATTATTTATTTAGAAGAGCACTGGAGGAAGAGCAAGGTGTCCTCTCTGGAGGGGGTCCAGGAGGCAGTGGGTACAACAATTACTACCTGGGTAGCTCTACCCATGGGACAACAGCAGACAGTATGGTTTCAGCAAAAAGCTTAGAGCAGGCTCAAGATATTTCACCAAAGGATATTACAGTAAGTCAGGTGTTGACCATGAGTCTTTATTATTTCTTAAGACCTGTAGTAATATTTTGATAAAAACAATCCCTTTGACAAAAATAATAAACCAATTTGAGGAGTGTATAGCTTAGAAAATATCTGAAGGTAATATAATTTTTTTGTAAAGAATTATTTTCTTGATTAAGTTACTACATTTATTGTTGTAAACATTTCCAGCATCTGAGTTTAGAAGACAATGATCCCATGGAGCATGATGAGGAAGACAGAGGAACAACCAACACTATGAATAATAACCCTATGGAAATAGCTACGCCTAGTCTGTATGACAACCATGACATGATTGATCATTATTGTGAAACACATAGAAAAGTCAAGGTACTGAAACAATCTAATTGATTTGAATCGCATTTTGTAAAAGCCTTAAATGGTCACCTGCTTCATCTGAAGAAGTTCTCAATAATTATGCTAATTGTTATCTAAAATATTAATTATTTTCTTGTTTTTAATTACAGAGTTCTTCTAAAGTATAAATTATTTTCTTGTAGTTTAATTACAGACTCTTTTAAATAAAATTTGTTAGTACAACATTTTTTCATCTAAAAAAGTTATTTTGCCTGGCAACTTATATTCTACTGACAGGTAGTGTGATTGAGTTAATTTCTATGTGTATACCCGTTTCTTTATTATATAAATACATATATATTTGTAATGATCTACAAAATATGTGTAACACATTCCCAATCAGATTTCAACAAAACAAGAAGAAAATTATGTAGAAAATCAAGTTATTACAAAACCAGAGCCATCAACATATTCAGTAACGTTTGTGCCAACAACAAGAGGTGGTCGGGCGATTGTAGTAAATGGATGTGTGCTTCGCATTAGCTACACTCGTGAATATGTAACTTACTGGAGATGCCAGAACAATGACTGTAATTTTCGATGCAGCTATGACAGCAAAGTCAAGAAACTTTTACGCATCAGTGGGGAGCACAACCATCCTGTCAACAGATACAGTCCAATTATTAGAACTTTTGTTCGTAAAATTAAAAATAGGTAAGCTTTGACCTAACTTTAGGAACAGCTAGTCTTGTTTACGTGACATCATTAATTTTAAATCGAGACATTCAGCACAAGTAGTGGAGTAGTTCCAAAATAAATAGTATCTCTGTGCTTTATAGCCTGTACCCCAATGACCTAAAATACTAATTGTAAATATGTTAAGCTATAAATAAAAGTGTCTCTGTTGTTAACATGTTATGCTACCAAAGAGTCATGCTGTTCAGATTCTTTTTGCATTGACACGTTTTAATATTAAATAAAGTAAATTTAAAATCAAAATATTTATTGACATTTTGTGAGGCCCTGGTTACACAAGTACCAGATCAATTTCCTTGGCAGAAGAACAACATTAATCACTGCATTTTGAACATTCTGTAGTTTATTGAATACAACATCTCACTAAAGAGGCAATAAATGTTGCCAAGGGATTTTTATATTTTTAAAAGCTTTAATACAGATTAAAATCAGCCAACATTAAAGTTTTTGATTGTCCTCTGGCAGAGTAAGTGAGGAGTATGAGTTGTCCCCGAAAATAATCTATGATGAAGAACTTGAGCGCCTTAAAGGTGATGGTCAAGATACAGAACTATTGACATCAATTCCAAGCTATGAAAGCCTCAAGTCAACTTTGTATAAATTCAAGAACCGGTCAGTTAGGACAAGCTTACAAATGGATGAAACATTGGATTCTGTATCTGATGAATCGGAGGAAGAAAGAGTAAGCAAGCATAATTATTAAAACTTACAATTAAATAATGTAACACTTATTATTTTTACTCATCTAATGTAGCAAAAATATTGTCTTTTTTTTTTTTTGCAAAATGCATGCGGTGATCCGACGATGAAGCATCAATAATTCTAGGGTATTCAGTCAGCAACTCAATTCAAGTGAAAACTTCCACCAATGCGTGCCTAATTCCAACTTCAAAAAAAATAAATTTGTTTCACCCAGTAAATTTAAGTTTAAACTTCCAACTGAAGTAAAATAAAAATTAGAAAAGAATGCAATTTACAGTTCTTATTGATGTCAGCTTAAATAAAATATAGGCCTACTTTTATTTTTTTAATGAAGAAAATTGCATCCGCTTTAGTTTTAGCTAGTGTAAAGATATTAAATTAAGTCATTCGGTAGTAGGCCTAATTATAATAAATATTTATAATGACTAAAGCCATTCAAAGTCAGTGATATTAAATATATTTAATCAAACATTTAATGACACAGCAGTTCTTGCTAAGAATTACACAGATTTGTAATTATGGTTCACTCCTTAAAGAATTCCCCATAAAAGATAAAGGTATATTACATAGATATTGGTGGAACCTAGCCAAGATTCTGTTTACCTATCCATATTCTAAATGTTGGGCCAGAGGTCATTTTGAACAGACCAATAGGATTTAAGCTTCCTTTTGACCTATGACCGTGAAGAAGTGACATAGGGTAAAAGTATCAATTTTGTGACCTACAATTAATTTATTGTTTTGCATGCAATTTTCTAAATCTTGTGGAAAAACTGTGCAAAGACCTGTAAGGCCCTACAGTCTAGGAAACTGTAAAAAACTGTACAATGTATGATTGGCATGTACAATGTATCACTACTATCACTGCCACATTAAATTAAAAAAGAAATTTACGAATGTCCAAATAAACAGTATTTAGTATTCATTAAGAACTTTTTCATCTTTTTTACAATCTTAAATATATTTCTTTACAGGATGAGGAAAGCTTATCTGAACCTTCTGAAAGCACACTGGAAGATGAACTGCCGTTTGACCCAGTAATTGAAGAGGGCTTCTCGACCTTTAATGCTCAACTCCCATCATGGCTCGACCAGGATCCTGATAAACACATTCTTGATGGTCATCTCTTGATTAAAAAAAGTACCACTGATACTAGTTCTGGCTGGACATGCTCCAAAGATGGATGCCCTTTCCGCTGTGTGATAGACAATGACACAAAAGCTGTCACACGAAACCAATGGGACCACACCCACAAGTCTGCAATCAAACACATAATAGCCCAGGCCATGTTTAATGCTGTTAAAAGAAGAGCTGTGACGGGCCCAAGTGTTGCACCTAAAACCATTTATGAACAGGAAAAGAAAAGAATAGCAGATAAACTAAGTGGCAACGCTACTTTACTCAAATTTATCCCAAGCGTCACTCAGGTATATCAGCTGGTGATTAAAACAAGAGCTAACCCTCCACCAAAGCTAAAGGAGATAAAATCCAAAATCCCTAAGCAGCCCAAGAAGAAAAAGTCACAGAAGTTTTCAGGAAGTAATAACAGCAACAGCAGTCTGGGTACTGGCAGCAACACCAGTAATGGGGCTGGTCCATATGATACTGATTACTTGTTAGAGCATTTTGAAGAAGATGGGGAAAGAGTTAGTACCTACATTGAGGAACAACGACAACAGAACAGCTTGTTTGAGCATGATGGTTCCAGCATACTACAAACGGCAACACTGGACAGTAATTCCATCCCAGTTTATCAACACCCATCTTATCACAGCAATTCCTACACCAATATTCTTTCTTCTAATACAAGCTTACCTAATTCCTCTAAAACAATTGGCCAGATGGAACATCAACCTGGCTTAAATAATTTTGGTTCTCCGCCGAATAAACCTCCCAATTTTCAATCAACACTATCACATGTTGATAGCAACCAAACACAGCCCCCACCTTTAATTTTAGCAGTGAATTCAGTCAGTGTACAGCCAAGCTTACAGCAAACTAGCCATCCTGCTGTACCTGCTCAAAACCTATCTTTGTCACCAAATAGTGAGAATGTGTTCACTTTGCATGGTTATCCCCTTCTCCCTGCTATGACACAGATTGGAAACATCTATTGGCAATGCCGGGTCCCAGGCTGTAGCTTTCAGTGTGTCCTCAATGCAGGAACATCACAGATTGTGCAAATCTCTGGTAATCATAACCATGAGCCACCAGGCTCTCATTCAGCATTTTGCTCCCAGGTTAGTCTTTGTTACCCTGCAGCGTTATTATGCATGAAGTGTATATTCTTGTATTAGTGTTTGCATCAGCAGACCTGTTTACTCTTATGATTTCGGCGTACAATGTACGGTTTTGAGATGTCTTTTACAATTATATGCAAAGACTTGTCAGGACAATGGTTAGTATGATTTTTAAGAGACTTAAAAATAACATTTTCTGTTGTTAGTTTTAACTTGCATATCCATTCTTCATCCAGTGGGGAATGGATAGAGAAATACGATTGGTTGGAGGACCATCTATAATTATATTGCCTTTACCCTGAAAGGCGAAGGGAGTGGTGTTGATTAGGAGATTTTGTGTACAAGGTGTGTCAAAGCTCTGATATAATTACCACCGCTACATTTTCGACACAATTTTGTAATGATTGTGGTGATGGTCATATTGTTTTCATATTGCTTTTTGTTTTCATAATGAACTCTTTAGACAGGACAACAATAATATTATCATAGTCACCCTAGTGACAATTTTAGTCTATCCGGGGCTATCCTTATAGTGCGTATGCTTTGAGTGGGGGAGGGGGCTTGTCCATTATTAAGATTTTTCCTATGCGTGTAGGGGTTTGTCTTGGCAGAAATTACATACATTATTGAAAAATTCTACAATATTCATGCTGAAAGTCCAAAAATAGCATACTTGTATAGCGAATTTATATGCTGTAATTTATCACGCAATGTTTTTTTTGAATTATTTTCATAATGACATGTATTTTGACAAATGAACTTAATACATATACTCAGTACTAAATAGTAGAGGTATTACAGTAATATTTAGTCCACGGTATGTCCAACTGCTTGTGACATATTTTGTTGGGTATGCCAGTGGTTCTAAAATCTTCATTTCGCGGCAACTGCCAAATTCACGAAACTACCACGCTGATGACAACCACAAATTTGAGAGTTGCTACATTCAAATATCTGGGGGCAACTATAACCGAGCACATTGAAATAATGTCGGAGGTGAAAAAGGGTAAACAGCACGCAACTGTTCTTATTTCAGCCTACAAACGCTACTGGGAAGCAAAAACCTCTCAAGGGAAACAAAGAAGACAATATACATCACTATCATAAGGCCGGTAGTAATTTAGGCCAGTGAGACTTGGACCCTTACCAGAAAAGCAGAGAATCTACTCAACACATGGGACAGGAAAATCCTCAGAAGAATATACGGCCCAGTGATAGAAAATGATGTCTGGAGAATCCGTATAAACCAAGAGCTATACCAATAGTACAAAGATCCACCCATAGTTGCAACAATACAAACAAAAGAGCCAGACTGCGCTGGGCAGGACAAATTGAAAGGATGCCTGATTGGAGAGCAGGAAATGTGATATACAGGCAGAAACCTAGGGGCAGACCACTTACCGGTTGCCCAAGGCTGAGATGGATCGAGGATGTAGAGGAGGATTTACACGAGTTGAGAGTATGGTCATGGAGGTGGAAAGCCATGGATCGTTCTGAATGGAAGGATGTGGTGGAGCAGGCCAGTGCCCTACATGGGTTGTAGCACCACTGATGATGATGAAAAATAAATATAACTCAAATGTAGGTCACTAAGCACCATCTAGTAACTGCAAACAGTAGTTACTTAGCGAGTTACTGTTTGCACCACAACCTCTAGATCAGTGGTTCTCAACCTTCCTGGTGCCACAACCCCTTAATGCAGTTCCTCATGTTGTGGCGACCCCCAATCTCAAAATTACTTTCATTGCTACTTTATAACTAGAGTATATGTATTTTCCGATGGTCTTAGGCGACCCTTTTAAAAGGGCCATTCGACCCCCAAAGGGGTCGCACCCACAAATTGAGAAGCGCTGCTCTAGATGTTTGTCGAGTATGAGAGTTAAAAAGAAGATAGTGTTTTCTTTCTCTCTGATAGTGAGCTACGTTATACATAGGTATATGGAATTAACAGTCTGTGAATTTAATTATATACTAAAATTGCATTTATTATGAAAGGGGACTTGAGTTGATTCAGTACTAGTAGGACATATTGCAACATGTGAAAGAACTTGATGAATTAACCAATTTGCCTGTCCAAACCTTCGCGAGCCGCACGGCTCTAGAGGAACTGGACCGCATCCAAAACCGTGCTCTAAGGTTTGTATGCGGGGCAATACGGACCACACCCACGGCGGCGGTGGAGATCATAGCCAATGTCGAACCGCTCGAGGTCAGGCGGGAGAATGCAGTCCTTACGACGGTAGAACGCTACCGCCGCATGGAAAGAGAAGAACCCTGTTTCCAATTGGACGAATGGGTAAAAAAGTCCAGATTGAAGCGACCATCCTTCATGGACACGGTGCACAGTCTCAAAGAAGACGTTATTTTACCCGGAAACAGGGTGAAAGTGATCCCCGCGCGGGGGCCTCACAAAAGTCTTCCCCTACCAGACATTCGACTGGAAATGATTGACACTAAAGCCAGCGAAGGCAGTCCTCAATTAGAACCATCAGAGGCTGTACGACGCACGATTGAAGCTTACCCGAACAGCCTGGTTAAAGTCTTCACAGACGGCTCATGTTTCACGGGGGAGAAGCGTAGCGGCTACGGTGTCCTCATCCAGTATCCCGCAGAAATGGCTCCACCCGAGGAGCTATCAGGCCCATGCGGTAGAAATGCAACGAGCCTCGATGCGGAAATTGAGGCGATACTGGTAGCTCTTAAGAGGTTAAACCAACGGCTAGTTCTTCCCGGACGTTGTGGTCTTCACCGACTCTCATTCTGCTCTCGAACTCATGGGGGAGAGATCGGTGGGCTCTAAAAAGATCACAGCCATTCTGGAGACAGTAGGCTCCATCCATGCACATGGCTCTAAGGTAGTCTTACAGTTTATCACTTCGCGCTCAGAGGCGTCGCTTCCTGACAGGGCAGACTTCTTAGCCAAAGAAGGCGCAGCCCTACCTCAACAGACAAACCCATGACTCAGCTCGGAGTCACTGCCTGGGTGAAAGACCATTTCAAGGAGAAATGGCACAGAAGGTGGGACACGGCCACTACTGGACGACAGCTTTACCAGAAAATGCAGCGGCCGGGCAAAAGCGACCCATGGTGGAAACTTAGTCGTGGAGAACAAAGCCTTATCACACAGATGAGAACTGGGCACTGCGCGACGTACAGTTATCTCCACCGACTCGACAACAGAAGGGAACCTTTGTGTCGACAATGCGGACTCGAAGAGGAGACAGTAGCCCACTTGGTTGTCACGTGTCCGAATAGTGGGATGGGGGCCGACGGTAGGAATCCGGAAGCTTGCCTAAATGATCTCCTTTACGGTAGCGCCCAGCAGATGAGGCGCGCCGTGGAAATCGTGTCCAGGGTCCTAAGAGATTGAATCTCGACCCTTTTGAGTATTAAACTTTATTAGTATAAACAAGAGTTTGAAAATGTTACATTGGATTAAAATTGGAAATAAACCTATTAAAGTTTTGTAATATTTCGCGACACCCCTGTGAGCAAGCCGCAGCAACCCTTATAGAAAAAGGGGATGTGGGCAATCGTAATAAATGTATACATCCGTACCATTTAGATGGCCCATCATATTTCTTTACTTCTGTGCTGTATGACGTATTTTTGCGACATAATTATTTCTTACGGCTGACCAGTAAAGTATAGAAACAGAAAACTAGAGAATGCATTCTCAACTGTTCCGTGCAACAACATAGATTTCGACATATTTTAGAATGCACTAAACAGATGTACAATTTATAATACCCCCTCTTCCTTTCAGCCATTTACAGCTTGTGGTAGTTATCAGGCTGTAATATCTACTTTTTGAAGTTATCTTTTTTTTTATACCAAATTAACTCGATCCCACTAGCCATGCGATGCTAATAGTGCTGTATATTGTTTACAATATATATATACTGTTAGTTTATTTATTTACCATTAAGATACTGTATTGTAAGATTTTGAAATATTGTACTATTTTAGAAGTAAAAGATAGACTTTTGTAATGTTAAATACCGGTACACAAACATTTATGTCAATCAACACAGTTGGGCTTTAAATAGAGGAAAATAATTCAAATTTACACATTAGCACCATGTCTTTATTAATAAAACAAAAACTGCATTTAATTTATAAATTATATTTGTGTTGTTGCATCAACTACCATGGCCCAAATGAGTACAAAAAAAAAATCTCTCCACCATTTTAAACACTTGTGTACAACTACCAAAATTTTATTTGTTTTTTTACCCCAGGTTGTTAAAATGCTCCAGCGCAAGGCTGCTGAAAATCTGGATGAACCTCTGACTAGTGTTTACTGGGAGTACATGAGAAGCCTACGAAATGTTATTGATTCAGAAGAAATTCTTAGTGGTCTTCCACGCTTTCAAGATGTGGCTTTGGCAATGCAAAATTCCAGGTCTGCAATGGGAGCTGTTGACAACTCACATCAGGTAATTCAAACATTTTCAGGCTTTGTGTAAAATGAAGATATTATTTTTTATTATAAATATTACTTAAAATAATACTTAAGTATTGTTTTTTTTTTTAAAATAAAAGATTAACTACTGCAACATTACAGAAGATTTAATTTGTATTCTTTTTATCGACTATCTACTACAAATCAGCCTCATTGAATGTGTTCATTTAAGGATATTGTTTTATTTTGCCATTTATATGAATAAGTTATAAGTAAAATTTTGATACTTGTTCTTTTTCTTTCGCAGTTCAGAAATTTGGTTACAGGGACAGCTAATCAGACAATTAAAGTCTTTGAATATCATTTTGATGCTCAGAGTGGATCTTTAGTTGTTAATGGAGACCTTTTGGTTCTTAATTGGAGAATGAATGAATTGTCTTACTGGAAGTGTAAAAAAACAGAATGCAGGTAAAAGATAATGTCACATCTACTCTCTGATGTATATGTATATTATTATTATATGAGAGGCATATGTTATAACAAAATCTTTTGTCATAAACATTTAAGTGTTAAAGTCATTAATCAATCTCAACTGATCAAATGTATTTTCATTTTAAAAAGTGTATCTTGTATATGCCAAAAAAAGATTAATTTGATAAAGTTGTCTCTTCAGGTTCAAATGTACATTGGATGAAGAGCTGAACTGTGTCCATATCATGAACCCTCACAACAACCCATGTCCTTCCAGCACCCAAGTAGATGGTAAAAGTGCTTCAGTCAAGCGTAAATATCCTGACAAGCCTTCTCCCCGAAAACCTAAGTTTCAGCGAATAGATGAAATGAAATTTAAGAGTAGTAATTAAATGTATAAATCATAATTTTTTATGAACAAATGCATTTAAAAAAAATAATTTACTGCTGTTTAAGGATCTGATAATTATTTTAAAACAGATTTATGAACAAGCAAGATTGATTGATCGGTTTTATATAATAGAGTAAAAAATATAATTTTTTGTTTTCATTAAAAAAAACTTGAAAACACCAATCCATTTTGATTTAAAAAAAAAAAAAAAATTAGGTGGCACTGATCAAAACAACTTTTTAATTTTAATATACCCAGTACTGTATATTACAGTTACGGCGTTTTTTTTACGGCGTATGTGAGAACTTTTGGGGAATAAATGCTACTTAAAAGTAGAGGTTTACATTATATGCATGTATTTGAATTTTTTTCTTAGAAGTAAACGATATACCATAGTCTACTTAATTTTAATACTTGACTCGCTTGCATTCAGCGACTGAGTAATTTGAGTAGCATCCCTTTTAAAGTAATATTAGCATAGTTGTATTATGTCCGCTGTTCATTTTAAACTTAATAAATTAAATAACTTTGACATTTTTATTAAAAATAAATATCTATTTCCCTAATTCGTATTGTATTATTATGGACAAGATAAGATTGCATTATATGTGGACATGGCATTTTAGTGCTTTTTTCAAACAAAAGGTTAGAGTTTGCATCATAAATGGATTGCATTGTACATTGTACATAGTAATATACAGTGAGTTAGAGGTACTAAGAACATGAATGTGATAACTTTAAAGAATTGAAGCACATTTCTTATATTTCAATTTTTAATTACTGTATGTAACATTGTAACATGCTCGTACATTTGAAACTCAGCTTTGATGCATTAGTATAAACATTTACAAAATGAGTAAATCCATTATCACTAGCTTTTAAGAAGTGCAATTATACACTATATATGGCACCTTCTTCAAATTCACCAACTGAAGATACTGACAGAATCTTAGGGGTTGTTTGCAAGTTACATCAAGCTGGGGGGGGGGGTGGATTTGTATTATAGGTACTAGGTATTATAGGTACCATGAAAATCAGTCGTGCAGACCTTCTGCGCATATAGTAAAATGACGCAAAAACTGATTTGGCCATTTTACATTCAGCTTATGGATGACTTTGCATAAGTTTTCTAATAATAATACATCTAAATCCAATATGGGAAAATGTTAAAGAATAAAATAAAATCTTAGTTTAGTTAGAAAATTCTATGTATGTTTGATTTTTTTTTAGTTGTGACATGACACTGGGGAAAAGGGCGTGGGGTGTTCCTATATAGGTCATTTTTTTGGGTGACATAATTTGCAAACGACCCCTTAATTTTCATTAGGTTGTTAGTTATTTTTTGAGTTGGTTTATGGTAACTTAACTTTGAATGATTTTGGCTCCCAGTATGATCTTAATTGTCACTTGGGTTTATGAAAATATATGCTCAGATTTTGGCAGTTTTAAAATTATAATGGTACAGGATGATAGATAAAGTAATCTACCAATCGTCGCTATCTATGAATCTTAAGCTAATTTAGCATTTATCTTAATATAAAAAAAGAATTGATTTATTTTCGTAACTATTTCTATTTATGTATCAGATGAACATTATTTTTATGTGCAGGGCTACCCCTTTTACCAAAAAAAACCCCTAAAAAACCTGGTGGTCCATAATATTATCTTCAACTTCAATACATTCATTTGCTTATTTTTTATATTAATGCCTATGGCATTTTATGCTTAGTATTAGTATTCAGTGACCAACTCAAACTCAAATGTTTACAGAATTAAATTTATTAGTGTATTCCACCATAAAATTATGATTTTAATGGTGAAATACATATAGATGTCTGACCATGTTTTATGCCTTACTGGTACTATGGTAATGGCACAGAATCACGGTATGCCTGAACCAAGACAATTTAATAAAAAAATATTTAAAATTTTACAGCTCACCTGAATTAACATTTTAAGTTTAAAATGCATAGCATTTAGAACTAAAACATTTTTTTTTCTTTAAAAGTATTAGCACCTTTCTAGTGTATTTTCCCCCCAAATCTACCTCAAGCTATAATTTGTGGGGCCATTTTCTTTACTTATTTATTTTGGCTGTGGCATAATTTGTTATAAATACTAATATTTTGTAACTTACACATATTTTTTAAATCCAAAAACGGTGGCAGGGAGATGGGGAGAGTAAAGGGGAAGACATCAGTTTTGATTGAAAAAAATGTATATTTTATGTGCATATATGTATATTTAAATGAGTGCAAACAATAAATTACTTGTAACTCTTTTCATAACTGTTTCAACTTATACCTGCATAAATACAGTGTAATTGAAATAAAAAACAAATTCATTTTCAAACAAGATAAAGTTTATTGCTTAAACAACTAAATGCATGTGATATTTAAGGCTTAAAAATCTGTTTCATCTAGATAAGTTTTGTCTTTCAGCATCCGCATTCTCTTTGTGTTTGATTAGCAAGTCACGAAACTCAGTCACCAGGTTATATTGCTAAAACAAAAATATTTTTCATTTACAAGCAAAAGTTGATTAATGCAGCATAACAGACGGTTGATATCCTAAATCTAAAATGTTGATGGTCACTACACTAATTAACTCCCTTCATTTTAATATAAATACTTACTTTAATTGATTGTATGGCACCATTGCCTCTTAACTCCTTCAGTTTTCGGGCTACATCATCATGGGCAAGACTATCATTCATTACCATCATTAAACATGCTGCAACTGAATTTATTTGAGGAATAAGTATGCAAAAGTTAATTACAGTGGCAAGAATGCATGTACATTTTTTTTAAAAAAATGTTCTGTATTAGTAGTAAATAATAATAATGTTACTTATTAACTCACCAACACATGACCTGCCAAGACCACCAAAACAACTGAAAAACAACCAAAATATTGTGACCGGTTTGGTTAAGATTAAAAATATTAAATTATACTACATAAACAACTAATATTGATCCATTTCATGTTTGTAAAAATCCACCATAGCTGAATATGAAAATATGTTTTAAAAGTTTTATTTAAAAATACAATTACTGAATTATAGTCCTCTTGCCAGCAGAAACAGTAGCTTGTAAGTCTTCAATGATCTTAATTAAATCTACAAATGCAGGAATCTGCCCATCATCTATTGGATAGTGGTGAACTGTAAAACCAGCATCACAATACTGAAATGTATACATTTTAGCTATCATTACAATGTTTGAAATTATGCTGACATATTAACATGACAAACACAAAAGACTGAAATAAAGTTCAGGTTCTAACAACAGAGGATACACTACCACAATCTATATATATAATTCGCCAGCAAAGGTCAAACAAGACGCAGGCTATTTATAGATACGGCAGAGTGTGGTTCAATAATGAGGTCACTTGCGCGCAAAATATAATTCCAGATAACTATGCCAAATGACATGTATATATTTTTTAATAACGCAATTGCGTTTGGTGCGCAATATTTTCTTTTCGAAAATGACATGGTCTCAAATTAAGTATTGTGTAAAAAATATTGGGTTTAAAAGTGGTTGGGACATGAGAATATTAATATAGTTCATGGGCGTGAAATAAAAAGTGTGCAGTGACGTATCATGGGGGAAGGGGTGTAGCAAATATTGGGATTCTTAAATCATATTAAATGTGTGTTACTTGAGTTCATGTTTTGTCAAGTAACTTTACTAGATGGGAAGTTCACGCATTGCTGTTGCCAATGTTTGGCGTGCTATATCTAGTAGTTTATAATTGTTGGCACTGTCCACAACTTGTCAACTATCATTTAAAAAAAATAAATGGACAATATTTACAATAATTAAAATCCACACTTACTTTCTCTAGAATATCTTGAGTTCTATATAAATAAAATTCTCCCTTTGTGCAGAGACAGAAGACATCTTGCACACCTTCTTGTTTCAAGCACTCTGTTAAATTTAAAATATTATTATTTTTCTCCTCCAAAAGAACAGTCTTATGAAATAACTTCATATGTTACTTAATTTTAGTTTTATCAACATACCGATATCATGGACTAGACTTCTCCATCTGTCTTTAAAACGACATCCTGCCAGAGAAATAATCCTTTGTTAATGTATAAGTGAAAATTATATTGAATTAATACAAATTTATAAATAAAGTTTATATAAAGGTTGATAAATCTAAATTTCATTATACCCACACAGTGACAGTTTGGGCCACCATTAGTTGAAAATTGGAAAAGTAACAATCATTTTTTTAATTTTAGTTTTAATAAAATTTCATAATCTGGGGTTGAAAAATTATCTGGCTACCTGGAAGACCACAGATCCCTAACTTTTGTTGAGACCCAGCAAACTGTAGATCCAACCTGTGAATAATCATAAGCCTTAGTCAAAGTATAAACAAGTAAATAGGGAAAAACTAAGTAAAAGCTTTCATTATGTATAATTTTTTAATACTGGTATGGTAATTAGTAACATAAATTTTTAATTTCCTCAAATTCTACATCTCTTTCAATACCTTTTTATTCCTGAGTAAATACATCTCTTGTAATATGAGGTCTCCCACAATACTTTTATTTAACCTCTCTTAAGTTTTATTTGATTTTAACATTATTTTAAAAAAATGTATCTTAGAAAGTGGACTAATAGGTACATGGCCTTGGGGGCTTAAAAGCATCTCACCCTACTGTAAACAAAAAAAATCACAGACCCATTCCTGCCCTATAACTTTTCAATGCTTTAAGTAATATCCAAAAACTCAATGTGGCATACTGGACACCTAGGACCCAATCTGTGCCACTAGGTCTTGGTTGTTGACATCTGTGTGATTGGGCTCTTGTGTCACATATATCTGATACTTATGGGGAGCACTTTTGCTGTGCTTAATTGCCACTCCCATATTTTCTTATGGGTGCCTTTTTTCTCTCATTTGGGCTTACACTCCACAGGGGAACCATTAGAAGATTATAGGAGGACATTTAGTCTCTGAGATAGGAAATGTATGTATGTTTTAATTGGGGGGATGTTGGACAGGAACAGGAAACTTTGTTATTAACAAAATATCTTTCACTTTATTGTAAATTTCTTTCCTATACTTAACTTTTACTTTTAAACAAATTAAAATAAGGATTTAAATTTAAGCCTATTATTTTTAACTATGGGTCCATCCATAAATGACATCATGTGTATGTGGGGGGGGGGGGGGGGGGAATTAAGCAATGTGACGTCACACGAAAAGCAGAATATTATAGTAAAGAATTGCACTTAATAACCCCAAATTACATACATTTTTAACTTTATTCTTTTATACAACAATAAAAATTATTTTATTTTTCAACTTCGATCACTGAGAAAATAAGTACAGGTATGCGTGGTCTGAAAAATGGCCTCTGATAAAGTTAAAGGCCGCCACTGAGGAGGAGAAAATGGGTGTAGTGACATTGACAGTTGAGAGAATTTATGTCAAAATGTGGATAGGGGAGTCACAGAATTAGGTAAGGTCCAATCGTGATGTCCATACACTGTATAAAGGTTAAAAAGCCATAGCTTGGGGTGGGGGAGGTGGGGCTGGAGGGAGGAGGTAATCTTGGCTAAGTGGTGGAGTTAAAAGTTAAAACTATATAAAAGATATAGGGTGCTTAGGGGTTGCGCAGGGGGGGGGGGGAAGAGTGACTCCAGGGGCTGCTGCCACAGAGCTGTGACACTTGAATGACTCGAGGGGGAGGGGGGATGCGGGGGCCGGAGGGTGATTGTTTCACTCAGAGATTGGATGTTAAAGTTAAAACTATATAAAAGATATAGGGTGCTTAGGGGTTGCGCAGGGGGGGGGGGAAGAGTGACTCCAGGGGCTGCTGCCACAGAGCTGTGACACTTGAATGACTCGAGGGAGAGGGAGGATGCGGTGGCCAGAGGGTGATTGTTTCACTCAGAGATTGGATGTTGTGGCCAGTGGGAGATTGTTCCACTCAGAGATTGTCCGAGGGAAGAATGAATGGAACAGGGGAGGGTGGAAATCTTGCTCTTGATGAATCATTGTTTTTCATGACACTGCATAAATATGAAAGGGTCAGCAGATCTATCGCAGGCATTGCAGATAATAGTGAGAATGTGTCAGAGGCTACTAGCATGGTCTATCATCCAGCGTCATAGATATTATAGAGATATTCCAGTTGAGAATAGTTGCAATTGATAAGTAAGTGTAAGGTATGCTGGCACTGGCAAATTTTAACAGATATACAATGATCTCCATGTTGGCTTTCAGTCTTCTATTTCTTCAAGTCCAGATGTTTGATAAGAAGAAAGGAATTATCTTGCTATGTATGCATGATGGCAGGAGTGACATAAGTGTTCTTTAAAAACACAGTTAATAAATTGAACACCTCCATCTAAACTGGTAATACCTTTACATGGCTAAAATTAAGAACGAATGCCATGGCGTCTTTTGCGTGTTTACTGAATTGGGGTTCAGGTTAGGTTTAGGGATACATTTAGGCTTAGGGTTCAGGTTAGGTTTAGGGATACATTTAGGGTTCAGGTTAGGTTTAGGGATACATTTACTTAGATTTAGTGACAGAATTAACTGGTCTTGTCAACCAAGATGACGGCCATTGGAAAAAAAACCATGGCATCTCTTCTTTAAATTTACCTTTTACTTTAATAATTAAGTGATTACACTTATACTATAGGCCTACTAGCTGGTGCAAAATAAAATAAATGCAAATTACAGGAAGAGGTGCATAATTAATCTATAATAATAATTCCCCAAGGCCCTCTATATATCCACCAAGTCAATGCTTAGCTGTATTGACTCTATAAATTATAAAACAAAGGAGTTCATCAAATACTTTTTGATTTTGCATGTAAATAAAGAAGGATGTTGATGTTATAGGAGAATGTCACATGTGTTCTTTTGTTTGCATTTGGTGTAGGCCTATAGGATGGGAAAGCATCAAAAAAAAAAGAAGAAAAATGAAAGTGCATCACAGTGTGCATCAAGGTGGACACAATATCCACTGGAAATTATAGGCCTAGTCTATACCCGGTATTATATTATAAGAATCTTATTAAGATTATCATTATACTATTATTATACCAGCTAAATTATAGGATGTGTCTTCTTGTTCACGCTCCATTCAATCTGTCAATGGGTATGAGTATGATAATGATACTATCTTTTTTTTTCCTCCCTGGAGAAACTATACTCGTAGTACTAGTTGACACTAGTTGAGGCAGGCCTACTATAACTATAAGACTGAAAGAACCTGCACTATTCTGAAAATATTCACTTTGAATACTTTGATTTACTCTGTCCTACTCTAGTCTCTAGACCTAGAACGAGACTAGCTGTCTGTGACTCAAAAAGTAGGCCCTATCTACAGTGAAAAGTGATTTGATTTGGATCTCTCACCAATCACCTTCAGCAAAATCAGCTTAGTTATGCTTTTTATAAGGCATAAGGGCAGAGGCTACTAACTAATTTTTTTATTAATTTACCAGTAGCATAGTAGTACTAGTACTATTAGCGCTTGGAAAAAAAATTGTCGCTGCACTTTAGTTAGATTCTTAGACTTAACTACTTAACTTAGAGTTTAGACTAACTTTATTTAAGTTTAAGTTAGAGTAGTGTCTAGTAGTGTAGTGTAGAGTAGAGCATTTAAAAAAGAAAAGGAATTTATTATTATTATTTAACAATATACAACAACCAACCAGTCAACTTTAAAATTTGATAAGTCAAAATCTTCTTGATCATCTTCGTCATTTGATAAATTATTGTGCATTTTAGTTTTCGTGATAAGCTAAGAGAGACTCTTAGACATTTACAAATATATCTGCAACTTTTGATCTAGAAATCGCTTGGTTCAAATGAATTGTTCCGTAAATGAATCTCCCGCCAAATATTTGTAAAACTTTTAAGGCCGGCACTACGTACACCGCGGCGGTGTACCTAGCGAAACTATTGACTTTGGCCTGCGTACACCGCGGCGGTGTACCTAGCTAAATCATGGTCTGTGGCCTGCGTACACCGCAGCGATTTTAAGTAGCAAAAATATGGTCTTTGCGAGTCTTTAACTTTTTGGCCTAACTGGTATTTGTAGATTTAATGTTATACTCAGTTAAAACTGAAAACTATTTATTTAAAATTCCTTTTTTAGCACCTTGGGAAGATATTGAGTAAGTTCCACGCTTTGGGGCAAAGTACTTGTAAAGCATTTCTTATTATTTTTTGGAAGGGAGGGGGCTGGGGGTGTACTGTTAAAAAGTTAAGCAATGATTTATTTTTAAAGTTAACCGCTTTATTCCCCCCCCCTTCCCCCCCCCAATATATTGAAATACAAATATATTTATTAATTGTTGTAGGTTTTATCATATGATCATGAATCTTAATAGGCCAGTTGTTTTTTTGTGTTTTTTTTTGGGGGGGGGGGATTATAAATATAACATTGTATGTGATCCCTCGGGACGTGGTGTAAAAATGAATGGGAAGCCAGTGAATCTATTTTGTTAGCACCAAGATATAATTACGCCACAAATACATTACGGGAAGAGAATCACATACATTATATGATTCTCATTGATCATGAAGTCGTGAAGTTAAAGTTGTCCAAGGCATTGTCATTGTGATACCAAGGGTGTGTCAACACAAAACAATAGTATGATGATGAATACGAAACACTGCAGTGATTTTTAAAAGTCTTTTAACAATAATAAAATATCATTGATTTTGTTTTACATTTGCATTACACATTAGTAAAAAATGCCGGCGGATGGGGGTGTGTGTGCAAAAGTTAAGTTTGTTGTGCACAACCCCTATCCAGAGCCGTGTTTTGTGAAGGCCCCCTTTTTGGTTAAGCCTCTGCCAATTACTCACCTCCACCCCCCTTCCCCCCAACCCCCGCAAGGATCGATTTCTTAACAAAAAGACAACAACAAAAAAACTTTGACATAGCGCAAATCCTGTCCCAAGCCCATTGTGCAATGGTTTTTGTGAGAAAACGTCGTGTTTTACCCTGAGAATAACAAATGCCACGTCATTCTGGAAAGAAATTCCTTCATGAAAAGGGTAAACGCAGACCTATGCCTATGGCTTTGCAGTTTGCTATCGCTCAATAAGTTTATAAAATCGAGGTGTTTTCAAAAGATTTGCTGTGAGACTGAGTGTTGTGAATGAACCTTTGATATCGTGTGTACATTTTGCCAATGCATAAGGCATAGTGAAAGCAAGATGGTTCAAGGTTGAAATACGACCATGCACAATAATGACATTAATATTCATAGTCATATGATATTAATGATATACTGCTATTTTCTTTTGATGTTCGTAAAAGTAAAATGTAAATATTCAATTACATGTAGTATGTTGAAATACAATAGAATATCACTTAGTATTCATAATTTTTCTCTTATAACTTATACATGTTACATACACTATACATGCGCTTTCAGAAACTTTAAGTTTGTTTTCTAATGTCTTATTACTAAATTTACCGGTATTTTCAAAGTCAAAGGCCGGCACAACTTGTTGAAACACTTAATATATATATATATATTAATATATTTATTTATTTATTTAGGAATTTTTATATAGCTCTTACCATAAAGCTCTAAGCGCTTTACAATTATGAAAAACATGTAAACTAAGTAAAATAAAAATAAGACACTAGGATAGTAACTACTATACTATAGAAACAATGAAAATGGCTATAAAACGAGGACACTTTGACACGTTTTGGCCTATACTTCAGGATCAACCCGAAACAGAAAATGAGGCAGGGCAAGGAGGGTGCATCACAGGTCATAGGCGGACCTAAACAGATGAATTTTAAGGGACTTTTTGAAAATGGACGAGGTTTCACAATGACGGATATGGACGGATATATAGTAAAACTAAAATGGGAGGAAAAAAAACTCATCCCCTACTGGAAATTGATCTCAAAATACATTATCGCCAAGCGTCCACTCTACCACTTGACCACGCAAGATCTTCTCTAGCGAGCATATCTTAAAACAAGGCCAATGGTACATTTTTGCCGCGGTGTACCCAGGCCAAAGCCCACGATTTCGCTAGGTACACCGCCGCGGTGTACGCATCCACTTCGTATTTAAAAATACAATAAAATTATAAACATAAACGTATTCTTACTTGCTTAAGCTTTACGTCACATCGTTCTTCGTGTTTCTTTAACGCTACCGGTTCATGAAGGTCTTCAAAATATGGCACATTTCTCGATTGATAGTAATGGCAATGGCTTTAAGTGAGTGTATGTATGGCATCCATTCTGTATTCACCCTCTCATAGTTATAAACTTCTTTAGGGTGTAGGGTACTTCAGGATTCTTGAGTAGACCGCAGACATGGCATTATATTTTAGTTCTCATTGACAAAGAATGGCAGTCAGAATCTTTGTATTAGATGTGTTGTAGCAGAACGCATCTGGGCTGACGTAATTATGGTTATTGAAAAATAGACCATGAACATAATGCAAGTCTTTTGATACTTGTTTGGCTGTATTCTTATCCTATAGCCAATATTCTTTTGTTTGTGTAAAGTCCAATACTGATCATGTAACCCAGTGCAGGTCTGACTTGCATAATTGAAGCAATGTTGTAATGTTATCAGCGTGAGCAGTGATACCCGTAGAAATTAAATGCATGTTCAAATGTTCACATACAACAGATGTGTTGTGATGTGTGACAATTAGGGGCTCTTTGAATAGAATATATCATGAGACCATGTTCAGGAAAGGCAGCTGCAGGCATTACTCTTCGAGATGAAAATGGAATCCTCGAAGTCGAAGGGACGGAGAAAATCTTGACTGCTCTTCGATAGTACCATCATTTACTTTCCAGTCTTTAGGTTCAAGGAGATGCCAACAGATAATCTAGAGATGATAAAAAATAGAATGCCTATAATAATGATTTATAGAAATAGAAAGTAAAAATTCTAGGATTTTATTCCAAGTCAATATGATTCAAAATAATTTTTAAACTTTCAAACGGTCCGATAGTCATATTCATATCATAAATAAAATTCATTTAAAAATATTTAGGCAGACAAAATAAAATTGCACTATCCAGAGATGCTAATTAATATATTTTATTAGGATTAATTTTTAAAACAATATATTTAAAGTTTACTGTGGGCACGTGCAGAGGACTACGTTTCGTTTAGTTAGAACTAGAGTGAGAGATAATTCTATCGCAGCATGGCACTAGTGCGATAAAATATAAAAAAGAATAATAATGTTAAATAATTAGTGGAATTTTTCATAAAAATGCTCAAATCAACTTACCATCAATTTGGTAGGGTACGTAAATCCACAAAAGTGCTAAATATTTGATTTCTTGTGTCGGTTTTGAGTCCATCGATTAAAATTAGCGATAATAGGTTCATTGAAAAATAACATCATATTTTCAGACCTAAAGCGGAAGTAGAATTGGAATATGGGAAGAAAACATTCAATCCTGTTCAAATTTTAATATATTTGACCAATGAGATTCGTAGGAAAGAGGAAAGGTCAAGGGGTCAATGCCTCGACCAATCATAGAGTTTAAAATTCGTTTAGAAACTACGGAATAGCTTCGCCGGTATTATTTTGCCATTTTTTATTACGGAATCACCGCGTTCCCGCTGCGTTTTTCTTTCGATCGATACCAAATATGTATATGTAGCGCTGTACGAACTGCATGTAACTAAGGGCTAAAAAGACAAACTTTGGCTTCGCCCGTTTTATTTTCCTGAAAATGTAGTCTTACCATATGCGTTTTTCTTTCGATCGATACCAAATATGTATATGTAGCGCTGTACGAACTGCATGTAACTAAGGGCTAAAAAGACAAACTTTGGCTTCGCCCGTTTTATTTTCCTGAAAATGTAGTCTTACCATGCAACTTTTAAATACTTATTTAACACATTTAAAATATATTTTAAAAAAAAACCTTTACAGAAAAGTATACATAAGAGGTTAATCTAGCAGAAAACACCGTAATCTCATTTTGGAAAAAAATTAACCAAAATATCAATTTTTTCACCCGTGGACCACCTTAAGATGGCAAACCATTAACCAACAGGAAGTATCCGTCATAACCGTCACATGACCAACCGGGTCCGAATAGCCAATTGCTGCTATTAGCACTGCTATAGGTACCTATAGCCACTCAGTTGAACAATTGTGTTAGTGATAGAGTTAATGTCTAAAAATTAAATTTATTGGAAGAAGTAATGTCATGTAGAATAATTGAAATTGAATTTTTCGCTAGTAGCTAGTGTTTTACATGTCGGTGTCTGTCTATGTACATTAACTTGGATTTGCGCATAACCACTTCGTTATTTTATTTATTTCAAAATTTTAAGAAGGAACAGATCTAATCTAGGTTCTCCACAACACTGACAGGGGTAGAAAAAAAAAGGAATGCCCTTATTTCTGTGTAAAAAATAAAATGAGAATAAGATAGAGTATTGTCATAGTCATAAAATTTCTTTTTAGTTTTCGGTGGAGCAAATATTTGAGTAGTTTTCCGTTTTTTCGTTACAGTATAATCCAAAAGAATTAGAATCGATACTGATATTTATTAGTGGACTTATTTTATATTTAAACAATGGAATCGATCATAATCTATAAACTTTTGGTATCGTACTTCGATTACAACTCGTTTCCGTTTCTGGTATCCCAATATCAATAAGGATTGTTATCGTATGTAATCAAAACTAATTTTATTAATAAACAAACAAACAAGAAAAATGGGATGTGATGGAGGAACTATTCCCAAAAGAGATGAGTTAGTTAAAACCAAAAGGAAAGGAGAACAGGTTAGCCTTATTGCCTTTATCAAACCAGCTTCGGCTTAGTCACTTAGTTTATTTACAATTTACAGTAATTAATTTTAAAACAAAGTTGTTAATTATTATTTTTTATTATTAATATTATTATAATATTGTTATTAGTTAATTATATTTATAGTAACTAATACTTAGGCCCTACCCCTACTTGTAGTTTGACTGTATTGTACTGAGTGTATAATCATGATGATAATATGTTGAAGGTTTAAGAATTTAATTAGTCATTAATGATTTAATTTAAATGATAAATAGGAGTATGAGTATGACTTCATGTGAATTATTAACAAGCTCAGTTTACTCAGTAAAGTAAATGTAGTTAATGGCATGGTTTGCCTAGAGTTGTCTCACCCTAAGCACAGTGGCATAACTAAAGGGAAACCCAACACTGGACCTGAACGACAAGAATGATAACTTTCAGTTTCAGGTTCTTCCACTTCCATGATTGTTATTATATGCATCAAAAACATAATCTGATGATCGATACAGCTAATATAATATAGGTTAACATTAAATTTTCCAATAGTTTTTTTAAATTAAAATTCAACTTGCAAGTTTCGAAAGAAATAAAAAGAGAAAATCATCCTTGCTGATACCCCAAGCCCAAGATGAACACGGGAAAAAATATGTGCGAATGGTTAAAAGTGCTGTTTGTTAGTCCCAAGCCTAACCTACTGCTACGTTTAGTGTCTTAGTATTAGCAATAATGACAATGTTGCTATTGTATGTCTATGTGGTCCACTGACATACACAACACGGTGGACAAAGTTTTTGCATACACATACTTCACTTAGTCGCATTACTCATACTCATGGTGACCAGGCTTCACATATTGTATGACATGACAAACATAAGATTATAGACTATAGTTTCTAGGCCTAAATTCACACACTTTAACTGTTAGTAGTGTTAGACATTGTGTACAAACTTCACTACCACCCCCTGAGTCTAATTGACAAGTTAATTTTGTGTGAAACACATCATTTACCTGTGGTCTAACTTACCAATAATTGGTATGATCTATAACTCTTGAGTAACAGTGTGAGTAACTTAGATATAACTTAAGTGTTACAGCCTTACGGATTAAAAGAACTTATGAGTTGATAGTATCCCATAATAGAGTAAAGTAATAAGTAGTATTTAAAAATAATTGGGATGTTATAACTTAATATAACTATGTTAATCTAGTTTTGGGTTTTTTGGCTGGTAGTTAATAAACTGTAGTGATATTAATGGCATAATTTTAATATTATGATTTAACTTTTTAATCCCCTCTAAATTATAAAAATAATAATGATTTAAAAGTTTGTCCATTACGTATGTGTCCACTGATAAAAATGCTTTGTACACAATTACTATCAATGCAATGCTTATGATTTGATTAAGTTCACCTAAATCTTACATAAGTTTTTTTTTTTTTTTCTAAAGAAAGACAAAATCTCTGAGTTAGCATTTAAATGGAAACATTGTGCAATCAGCCAGGAAGTCTTAATAAAGCCTATCGTTGCATGTGAATTAGGAAGGTAAGTTGACCACACACACAAAAAAAACCCTGAACCAATTTGCTTTATAAAGATTTTAAGACCATTTTTGTAACAAATAAAAAAAAATCCCTCAAGAGAATAGTATATTAACTTTTAATACATTTATACTCCTGTGCATTTAAATTCTTCATTGCTTATTTCAATTCTCTACTATTTATTTTAAGATTATACAACAAAGAGTCGGTCCTGGAGTTTCTTCTCGATAGAAGCAAATTTGAAATCGCCTCACAGCTTGAACATCTGCGGGGGCTTAAGGTACTCAACTTTTTTTAATAATTACATACACCATTGTGAGCCTGAATTAAAATATTTTGGGAATTTTTAAAATAAATATATCCTACTTAAAATTAAAATGTTTTAAAATATAAGAAGAATAATTTTAAATTTTGATTTATCTTTTGCTTGCAGGATGTCAAAGAATTGAATCTAACAGATAACCCTGAAAGCAGATCAAAAGACGCAGATAAGGGAGGTCAATTTGATCCTAACATTTCAGATTTTATCTGCCCTGTGGTGGGTTTGGTGATGAGTGGGACATTTAAGTGAGTGCATTGTGAATGAACTTAGCACTGTTGCTCACCTCTTAAATGAAGTGAATTAGTTTTATAGTAAAAAGCATTACATTGGCCTACTTTTGTGCCTTCAAATGTTTTTTTAAAGGACCCCAAAATAACTACTCTTAAATATTTCTAACTGAAAACAATTTTTTATTCTTATATTTTTAAATTAATACATTTATCTCCATAATTTCATCAGATTTTGCTTTCTATGGTCATGTGGATGTGTGGTATCAGAGAGGGCATTGAGAGAGGTCAAGTCAGAAACATGTCATAAGGTGCAGATTAATGTGTTTTGCGTGAGCTATATAATTATTTATTTAGCATGTCGTCTGCCGTAACAACCTTGTCTGTCTAAATGAAATAAATTTGGGAGCCAAAATCTCTTTTAGCCTAGATATGGAATTACTTGTACATTCTATTCTTCTGATGAACTATATCCTTATTGTTCATTATCGAATTTATAATTGATATCCTACAAAATACTGGACAATAAAGAATGTTTTTTGTTTGTTACTGGACGGCTATCGTATGGTGAGCTGAAATTAATTGAGCTGATTCCAAATCTGAAGTCAGATTTTTGTAAAGCACGTCAGGATATTAAGTTATGAAGCTTACCTGTAAAAATTGTATTGTGTATTAGGCAAATAAATTACTTGGCTAGTATTTGCTTATTTGACTATGCTTACCGTACCACTGTGATTCACAGTGATCATAATATGAAATATGTGTTATTTATTCTTTTATAACCTGAAATTAAAGTAAACATTTAACCTATTTCAAATATTAAATTTAATGTTTGATTTCTTAAACCAAAATTTAAAAAGTCCATAGAAATACTTATTAAAACATTCAATAAATATAAAAAAAAAATCTTATGCTATGTTTTTAAATCTAGTTTAAATATATATGTATGTTACTCAGATGAAGGCATACAATGCAAACTTTCACCTCCTGCTTTACTTCATACAAGTTCAAAATTACTTTAGCACTTGCTATTGTGGAGTGGTCGCTGTTGCCCGCTGAAGAAACTAGCAATAATCACCCCACATGTATAAATTGCAGAGGTTTTGATGCCTTGTTTCGAAGGTGAAGACATCTTGATGAAATCTCTCACCAAACTCATCCCTTTTATCAACCAAGTTTAATAAAAAAAAGTTTTATTAAACTTGGTTGATAAAAACTTTTTCAAAAAGTCCCTTAAAACTCATCTGTTTAGGTCCGCCTATGACCTGTGATGCACCCTCCTTGCCCTACCTCATTTTCTGTTTCGGCTTAATCCTGAAGTGTCAAAGTGTCCTCTTTTTATAGCCATTTTCATTGTTTCTATAGAATAGTAGTTACTATCCTAGTGTCTCATTTTTATTTTACTTAGTTTACATGTTTTAATAATTGTAAAGCGCTTAGAGCTTTATGATAAGCGCTATATAAAAATGCCTAAATAAATAAATAAATGGTACAACATCCAGATCAGAATGTAAGAAATGTATTTAGGGACATCAGAAGCCGATTTGCGGTAGGCTGTTAGCATGCTGCTAACAAGTTAAGCCCAGTTCTGTGCTCTCTGTGATTCACAAAAAAGTTTTTCACCACCATCTTACATGCATCCCAAAAAACCGACAAGATAAAGTGGGTTCAGCTAAGTTCTAAATTAAGTATCATGCATCAGTTCACAGATTTCTGGCCTAATAAAGATTCCAGCATTCAGATCTAGTGCTACTAAAATTATTTTCATGAGGCCCAGTTTAATGTGTAGTTCACTTTCAATGTATAAACCAACATTTTGTGTTGCACCTTATGCCAGCCAACAATGTGCTCAGATCTAGGAGACCACTGTTTCACTTTATTTTGGTTTTATCATCACGACTGTTCAACAAGCAAAAAAAAGCACAAATGTTTTGTGTACCCCAGATGAAATCCTAGAAAAAGTGCTACAACTTTCAGGTCAGGTGTTTAGTTGGGTATTGAGCTTTGAAACTGAGTTTCATTGAATCATATGTCTCGTTTGTGTAACAACACAGCTTTCAAGCTGGCTTTCCTGGAGTCTGAACAGTTTCCACTGATCAAGAAAGTATTTGTAACCTAACTTTAACGTGAGACCCTTTACATCAGTACGCAGATATAATTTTTCAGTTATTAGTATGTATATATATATTACGAAGTTTCTGGTTGGGACAATTTGAGCCCTAGGAATAACTGTGGCTTTCACAGGATCAATTTGATATTGTGGTGATGCATATGCACAATACAATCAACACTTCCTGTTTTGGGTCTTCTTGCTTATGGGAGACACAATAAATATAGCTGCTGCGTTAATTTTGCACTCGGTAATAAATTTTGTTTACCTGCAAAAATAAATTGCTATCTCTAATTTTGCACTCGGTACAACGTTTTGTTTATCGACAGTAAATAATGCCCATTTGCATGTAAAAATAATATGTATAAGAAAAATGTCAGCATCAATGAAATTAATTCTGAGTGAATTTGTTGATATTTTTACCAAATATCACTGGATTATTAGTAGGAATATTCATTCGGCCTCTAACCTTTCAGAGCAGATTATTGTTAATTATTTTACATGATGATCCCATCATTTTGCTGAATAAAATGTAAATTTTTACATATTTTAAATCATTAGCATCAATTAACAAACAGGCTTAATAAAGAAGCAATTTTTACTTTATTTTTTACCGTTAATATAGTAACAACATTATTATCTAAATAGGGTCACAAAAAGAGGCAATGCCCGACTCAACACCGGTCATTTTATTAATGCTATGTATCTATTTATTGAATGCTTGCATAACTTAAAATCTAGATCTGCTAGCCAGATTCTGACTTCATATTTGGAATCAATCCGTTAAAATGCTTAAATCTCCATATGTTTTACTTTGAATATCAAAATTGTAGTTGACCAATGAAAGATGCGGTAAAATTTTGCTTACCTTGTTTATTGTATTATTAGTTATTGAAATGTAACATTAAAAAAAACAAACATAAACACTGTTGTAATTGTATATGAAAAATGTTGGATCCTGATTATCTCCAAATGGCTGACAAGGCAGATTATTAGATGTAACCCTAATTAAAGTTAAAGTTAATATAATGGCATTTTATATCTGTGTGTAAGGCAAAGTTCTTAACATACAGAAATGGTTTATATTTATTTTTATATAATTCTGATATCACATTTATGTAACATTTTTTGGGGTCAAAACAAATACTTAACTAATTTTTAAATCAGTTTTTGCAGTTTTTATATTCTTGTCAGTAAAAGATCTTTGGCTGAGCAAACCCAGGGAATGACCCAGGGCTCTGCTAAACAATAGTGGCCACAATGTATGAATTCCCATTTTCTAAAGTTACCTGACAAAACATCCGATCAAGTAATGCACTTCATAAGAATCCCACATGGGATGGACACAGAAAAAAGTCTTACGGAGTGCGCTCTTTTGAAGCAATAGTGTCAAAATTATGGAACAGTTTGCCCCAATCTTTGAGGGACTTTGAAAGTGATAAAGAATCATTTAAGAAACATTTAAAGACTTTTTTATTTAAATAGTTTTAAGAATATCAGAGCACTGTGAGCATGCTAAAGTAGCATGGATACAAGCGCTATATAAATATTCAATTCAATTAAATTAGTTCCCCTCCCCAGGTTTACAATCGCACAATTTTTTTCACACCCCTGAACTATATGAATATTCTAATGCCCCATTCCCTATTATACAGCAGATTTATAACACCATGTTTAAATTGAGACTATTTCCATAAAACAAAAGAAAATATTATGCACCATACATAATTGCATTATTTTTTAAGAATCACATGTTGCGCCGTCATCAGGAATTTTATTTAGTGAAATTAGGGATATCGTTAGTGACATTGTTACAAAGAGAATTATGCATTTTGATTATAGCTATCTTAATTTAATTTTGATAATTATCTTATTTAAGTGTGGAAAAGCTTTCAAGGGGGATGATGACGTTATAGTACTAAATGGGACAGAGGATGACATTATTTTAATGAAAACCAACATGGAGAAAAGAAGGACGCTTGCCAAATTTTCAAAGGTATTGTGCTGCATTAAGTTAAACCTATGTCTGAGTAGCTTCTAATACCCCACGATAAAATTTCTTTTTTATGATTTCTTTTTTAAAATTAAAATATAAAACCATTACCCAGCGATTACAAGGTAGGGCTGTCTCTTTGTGTACGGTAGCCCATCAACCTGGCCGTGTCAGATTACCACCGGCCAGGAAGGGCGACGCCTCAATCCGAACAATGGCTCAACCAATACCTATTAAGCGAACATTGACCTGCTTTAAGGTCAAGTAACGCAAAATGAGTATAAATACTGGTACATCCACCCTGGAGGTGGGGAGACCAAATGAGGATCATATCGATATGTGGTTAGCTTCCCGTTGCAATTGCTAAGTACTAGATTAGGGCCATTCAATAGTTAGCAGAAATATTAAAATTAGACTTGTGATAGTATTGTGTATATTATTATTAGTGTGAGGATTTTAGATATTGTTAGTGTCAGACCTGCATTCATTTCTTTTTATGTAGAGTTCATGCATCTTTGTTCACATTATAGTCCCTGTAATAAAGTACATTTATATAGAGCACTGATTGTCTTTATTTTAGTCAATAGTGTGTCTAAAATCTACCTGTGTTAGCCCCCCTTCTCAAATTCCCTAGACCACGAGCTTGTTCACTTTCACTGAACACAATCGGGGGCGTAACACAGCATATTGTAATTTTTAAGTCCTAGATTAAATTAAAGTTAAGTTATAGATAAAATTATAGATATATATTCTGATGTATTCAACATGTTAATCTCAACTTTCAGAAATCTAAAAGAGCTGAGAAACATAAACTCGCTGAACCGATTGAAGAAGGTATTTTTATTAATAACTTAATGTTATTATTTGTAAATATATTTTAGTGTACTATTGTGTGTCAGTCAGCTTCTTAATCAATTTGTTACTTACTGGACCATTGCAGTCAGTGTAACAAAATTATTGCTAACTTCTACAAATTTTTCTCTAAAAGCATAGTTATGTGAAATAAGCACAAAGAAGTATAATTAATAGAGATGACTGTGTTCAATATAATTGCAGGAATACTGGGATAATTTGTAATTGAACATTGATTGATTTTTTAATTGATTTTTAATTCAATCAGGTGCATCTGAAAGCAAAATGTCTTGTCCACCAACCAGCTCTTCAGACTCAAATTTAGAGCCGCCAACCTTAGACACTGAGTTAGACAAGAGCACGACAAAAATACCCATGGCCTCTGGAAGCCAAGAAACTTCAAGCTCAAAATCTGGTATTGGGAGACTAATACCTCAAGGGAAATTTTCAGTGGATAAAACCAGCAAACTAAAAAAGACAAGTACAAACACTGGGAGCAGCATTCAGAAGGACCCAAAGACAAGCCAAACGTTTAAATCTTTATTCACAACCAGTGAACAGGCTAAGAATCAGAAGCATGCTCACTGGGTCACTTATAATCCATTGTACTACTAGACAGTGCACAAGACTTTGGGTGCCAGCTCATAAAAAAATACAGTTTCTGAAATTGTCTTTCTTTAATAATGATTTGGGCTAAAGTAAGCACCGCACTAAAAAAAGTTTGCGGTAACCATAAAAATTTCAAATGTATTCTGACTTACTGGTGCACCGCACATTTATCGAAGGCTGGCAAATGACAGTAGATGGAGATAATAAGAATTTGAAGAAAAGGCCAGTGTCTTGGACTAAAAGAAAAGGCTGGTGTCTTGGACTAATGATAAAGTGCAGGAAATAATTTGGCTAAAATATCCTCCTATTGAAGAAACAGACCCGATGAGAACTGAATTTTTGCAATTTTACACAGATGAAACTACTGGGTCACAATAACTTTCATATATATGATAAAAATTGTTCACTGGCTTACAATAACTTTCATAAGTATGATAAAATTGACAACTTTTTCCCTAGTTTAAAGATAAAATGTCATATTTTGCCAGATATTGAAAAATAGCGTAAATCTTCCATCTATCAAATGCTAATCTCAAATTAAGACCATTAAAAGAATTAAGTAATGTATAAATTGTTAAATTTTGGCTGTTTTTAACTTCGAATTAAATATATCTCTTTTATTCATATCGGTACCACTTAGAATTAATGCTGAACACATTTTATATAGAAAACTTAACATTTAATTTTAACTTACTGAAAAAAAGAAAATGGAAACCACACAACATTGATAACATAAACGTTTATTTTTAATGTAATGTTAAAGCATAGAGAATTTATTGAGGAAGTGGATGCCTCAACATTTTAAAAAAAAAAATGTAACTTAAGTCGGCAAGATAAATATACGCTTTATTAGTACATTTCCATATAAAAAAAAAGAAGAGAGTATCTTTGTATCTACAAGAATACATAGAAGTTTTTAAGCTTATGATTTGGTTCACTTCTTTAGTGATTGTGCTCTGTATCTACTGCCTTAGTTCTGCCATTTATCTATCTTTCCTTGTCAATCCTGAGGAAGGCAATGGAACATGAAGTATTTTTAAAAAAATGACATTGTAATCTGCATTGTGTTGTGTAGAGCTATTATCTTTATTAAATTTACTTAACATTGTTACTTATGTTCTTAATTCCTGTTGGATAGGATAATATTTCAGATTTTTTTGCATCTAAAATTTAGATATATAGTAGGCACTAAGATGACTTTTTTAAATATACCAACCATCATTTACGAAAGGTATTTGCTTTTGTCTAATTCTCATTAAAGTTTTAATTATTTTGTATCATTTGGTTGATTTCTTTTAAGAAATAATTCACTGTATAAACGGCTCGTGTTATATGAATGTATAATACATTACAGTTCTAAAGCATATTGTCAAGCATGAAATAACTTGCATCATTGTATAATAAAATATGCACCCTGTCAGTATCTATTGAGATGAAACTATAATTGTTCTTTTTACCCAACTATAATCAAAATAAGTCATCTGATAAAGACTCTAAATAAATTTAAAAAAACATGCAATTAGTTTTCCATCCTCAAAAATTTCATTTAGGAAAAATGAAACTGTTCAATGGGATATTAATTAATAAATATCCTTAAAATATATCCTTAAAATATTTTTTTTTAAATGATGCTTTTAAAAAAGATCTTTGCAATCCAGTCCAATATTTCATCTCACATTCCCATTCCTGAAACCAATAGAATTCTGCTTGATTTGCCAAATACATCATTTTAATTTTTTTTACATAGTACCGGTACCTGGTATGTCAATGGTGTCTCCAAAAACTACAAATAATCTTTAAATAAATTAAACCTAATAATTTTGATATTACTTATTTTCAGAATGTCATAATTAAACCAAACTTTTAAATAGGTGAATATAAAATAAGATTTTGAGCTGGATTTAGTTTTATTGCATTTAAATATGCTAAAGGAACATAATTTTGCCGGATATATAAGATCTTTGTTTTAAAATAATGCTGCACTTACTTAATATTAGTGCAAATAAAATATATTTTTGATGCAACTCCTGTTTGTGATCAGATACAACTAGGCCAAGAATGATTATTTATAGACTTTGTGAAAGTGGACAACCATACATGAGTTTGTGTTAATTAAAGATCTTTTTAAAAAAATGGCTACCCCAAATTTAATAAGTAATCTATGAGACATGGTTTAATGAGATATTTGAGGAAAATGTATCCACTGCTATTTAAAACATTTTCCTCAGTGTTAAAAGAAAATGCTACAGAATTAAGGCAAAAAATTAATAATTAATTCAGAAACTCTTTTGCAGTGACTACATTTAAGACAGCAAAATTTGTAATTACTTTTCAGCATGGATTCCAGTTATAATATAAGTTATAGAGTAACTTTAAGTTTAAGACTAGGAAGGATAAACAGTTTTTTAAAAATAATTATAGTCAATGACAAATACATATGTAAGTGACAGATTAATTATATCTTATATCAAACACTTTTGCATGTACATAAGCATAATAATGGGAAAAATACATGCACTTAATGACAACATTTTCACAATCATTCGTACGTTTTTAATTAAAGTATAATAATATATTGTGATGATGTTAAAGAGTTATTTTCAAGAGGAAGTCAAAGCTCTCAAACATTTGAAGTTTATTCCTTATATAGCTCTATACTGGCAACAAATGAAAATTTGTTAATGTATTATTTTACTAAATAATGTCTATTTACAATGAAAATTTAACATGAAAATCAGAGAAAACAGAAACAATTAACTAGGGCATCCGTCAGTCTAAACAATGAAATTAATTGACAAAGTGAATTCACTATTTTGCTATTACATTTTAATCAGCATTACTAATTTATGGCGTCCATTCCTTAACCCAAGGAAATAATATAATTAACCCAATACTCCACAGATAAAACCAAACCATAACTATCACAATTTTCTCCTTAAATTAAATGTATCTTTTGAAAAAACTTAAATATCCTTGTTAACATGCTCCAAAATGGTACAGCTGACAGGGCCCATGGGACACAACTATTATTAGGGCAGGTAACAAAATCTACATTTTTGAGGTACACTGCCATGTCTGGCACGTTTAACTGGAGACCAGCCATTCGAATTAAGGGTTTCCAAAACTGCAATCTGATTCTTTAATACCTATATCCAATTCCAGCATATCTATTCCAATGATTTTTTTTCCTCCACAAACAGTTGTGTGGCTGCTTAAAGTCATTTCATGTACATCTAACTCCCTCTTTTGAATTTCATCACATCATAGTCTACATTAGTCTACATTGAAAGTACATCTACTCCAATAAATAATAAACAAATTTTGACACTGACATTTATAAAGGAGTTGTATATGAAATACTTTCTAAAAGTCTGTGTACAAGAAATATCATTCAGTTTAATGACCATTACATTTGAAAATGACATAACATGTACAGGAAAACAATATGAAATGCTCATTAAAGTATCAAGAGTCAGAATAAAGTTAACCATGTAGGAGGAAACAATTTACATCAGAAGAAAAAAATATCAAGAAAAGTTAATAAATAGAACAAACAAGAATGTGATGGGGTAACATGAAATTAGATCTTAATGCAACGTAGCTCAGTAATGTATGACAGCAGTCCAATCACAGAGGCAGCTGTTAGATCTTAATGCAACGTAGCTCAGCAATGTACGACAGCCATCCAATCACAGAGGCAGCTGTTGCTATTTTTGTAAATAACAGTTTTTATTGCCACTGCACCAAACTGAATTTCAGGATGAACAAGAATGTCCATTCATCAAACAATTTTAAAATAAGAAGGCACCAAGGACAAGTAGTCAGAAAACATGAGAAATCAATAAGTAGAAAGAGAAATTGTTTATTTAATGATATCACTACTTAAGAAAAAAAAATGTTTAATGCGTAGGAAAAGGCATTTTTTCACTACCTGTATCACAAAAAGGCTACTATTATTACTATTAAGTTTTGTTCTATTATTTGTGAAATTTTATCATGAAGTCAACAGATAAATAGTTACATAGTATTGTTTAATGGCACTGTTCTAAAAAGAAAAATATCTATATTTACTCCTTACACGCATAGCTCAATCTGTCATTAAAGAATTTACCTTGAAAATAAAAGATTATAAGATTATATGGAATTAACATTAATCATTAATGAGTACCATTAATAAATGTAACTAGTACTTAGATAATTGGAGAAGGAAGTTGAGTCTATTATTGACAGTATATAAGATGAAAATATGCAAGACTATCAATTTACCTAATAAAAATTTAAAAGAATCTAAGCAGTTGCAAGGAAAATAGTAAAGGGTAAGGTAACGGGCAAGACCTGCTGTTACCACTCTTTTACATAACACAAACACAAGCATGTGTACATGAAATAAAATAATCTTGTTCTAGCACAAAAACACATTTTACATTGATAATACAACTAGAAAATATTCTGTGTTATTCTACTTTCATACAAATGTCATTAATGAAATTTGCCAACACCTTTCATCTGGCACCCAACTAAATCAAGGCATTAAACATCTGTTTTTCTATTCTAAGATGAAAAGGTCATTTTTCAAAGGATTTATGAGTATTGCATTTAAATATATATAATTCCAGTTGTATCTGAAAATGGTAAGGTAAGCAAATTTTCAACAGACTATTTAAATTAGAAAAAAACACACAAAAAATCATTTTACTTCCACCAAATATACTTTTATATACTATTATATATACTATTATTAAATGCTACTGTTATTTTATCACTACATGCCATGAGAAAGGAGTATATTAAGTATTTAGGGAATAACTGATGAATTTGTAAGTCCACTTTACTATTTAAGAGTACGGTAAATATATCATTTTTTTTTTTAAATTATACAATTTAGGGCTTGAGTATCACTTGGACAGTGCACTATTTTCACTCATTTTTGAATTCTGTTATTTTCCTTCAAATTTCTAGCTCTACATATCTGAAGTAAGGGCGCAATGATGTTTCCCACAACTACC